CAAGTACTCAAACTGGAAAACATGTCAAATCACTTATGTCCAGTGCTAGCTGATGACATGTGTTGTTTTTCCCTTAATTCTCATTGGCTGGTTTAAAAATAACTTTGAAATTTGTGGTTTTACGAGGGTAGAGCGGTGATGTTGTTAACACGGTTTTTAGCAGCTGTTAGTTTTATGTTAAAGCAGCCGTTTACCCGCAATAACATTTAGCACATATTAAAACAACTTTTTATCGATCATTTCATTCATTGTCAAGGTACAATTTCAACTAAATAGCAGCTACGATTGATGTCGTTATGTAGCTACGTAAACACAGCATCAACACTTCTTTTGTTGCATTCTTTGTGATTATACCGTAATGTTTTAACCCGATCAAAAAACTGAATCTTGAAAACTAATTATTTCATTGCAGCCGATATATAAAAATACTGTAATGGTTTAAAATGATTAATGCCCAGATTTAAAAAAAAAACACTTTTATTGCAGCGTTTGTGCTAATTCCGTTAAATTATAGAGGATCCTGATTCTTGAAATAAAATCATCCCTTAATTCGAACCTTGTGCATTTAAAACAAAATTATTTACAAAACTACAGAATTAGAAGAAAAATGCTACATAACATTATAATATAAAAACTCTAGATTTTAACTAGACAAACACAAGCTTATAGCTCTCTTTTCATTGTGTTAAAATTTTTTTAAAGATTTAAGAAAATGAGTGAGATATCGAAAAACGTATAAAAATTTTAAAGATACATATATTTTATGCAATTCCAAAACATTCCACGTTTCTACAAGTATATATTTATTTTTATTCTGTCTCTCACTTCTTCATTAATCTAAAAAGCTATTAGGTAGATACAACTTTATCTAAATTGTGTTTGTATACTGTTTACCTAATAATATGTATTTTAGTTTTTTTTCGACTTGAATTTTCAAGTCTCTAGATAATTTATATGTTTGAATTGCTTCACAAATTAAATAAATAAAGTATGCACTAATTGTACTGTAAATGTTTGAAGAAATATATAGTTTGCTATAATAAATTACAGGTAATAAAAAAAATTCTAAAATAATTTAGAAGTTTTATTTTTTAAATATAATAAACAAAGTAAAAATAAATATTAAACTTTACAGTGCTAATTTTTTCTGATTAACATAACAATATAGGAAAATGTTTTCAATTTAAAACTTTAATACTAAAATGCTGTTAACATGGATTAACTCCACACAAGTTTAGAACAAGTACATTCGCACGACAATAAAATTTTGCGTGTGATGGTGTGAAATATTCTTGCTGAAGTGTATAGTAGGCCTAGTAACAAAAAATATTCTCTCGAGTTTTAACGCGAGCACTATGTCGGAGATTGTCGTACAATAGGGACACGTTGGGATACTAAATTCTATAACTAACCCGAATCAGGAGCGTCAATCGGTACCCCGACAGTTGTATGACCTGAAGCGTACAGGCTTCCCTATCAGTACTAAGGTGTATACATTAGTATTATAGAGCGCCCTATATTATTGAGACTAAACCAACCAGGGGACGAACCCGGCGACCTTGCGGTAGTGTAACCGATGGCTTCTGAGAGCGCCTGGCTACGACCCTAATACATGGTCGGTCGTCGAGATGATATAACTCGTGCCTTTGAGATGATCTACCTCATTATTACATCTGGGCCGTCGAGATGATCTACCTCATTATTACATCTGGGTCGTCGAGATGATCTACCTCATTATTACATCTGGGTCGTCGAGATGATCTACCTCATTATTACATCTAGGTCGTCGAGATATTATATCTCACTATTACACTCGTGTTTTCTGGGTCGTCGAGATGATCTACCTCACTAATACGTTAAGATGTGGCTTGCTCAACCCTCGCCCTTAAAACTGGGATCTAAGACATATAGCGCCGGGTTTGTTTACATTTTAACAACTCAGTTCATTCCCTACCATCCGGGCTCATGAGGCTTGTAATCTGGGGACGGTCACCTATCTAGGAAAGAAAATTCCTAAATAAAACAGAGATGGGGCCCAAACAATTACCAAATTAGGATTCCTTTAAGCTACTCTTGCAACACTTCTAGTAGATTATGTTCAGGTTTATTTCATTATGTATATATAATAATGTTGTTCTATGTTCGACACTAACGAAAATCTTTTAATTACAATCTTCTTTGTATCAAAGGTTTGGTTTTTCAATATGTCGAGAGCACTTAATTAAGGAACACTTAATTAAGCAAGGTATTTATAGTATGGAAAACTAAGATTCTGGGACTTTTCTAAAAATAATACTTGTTACCGGGTCACTATTTAAACTTCGCTGTCCATTTAAAACAATCATATTTCTGGCTGAAGATAGGTAATTATAATTGTTTATTAGGGATTATTAGTTTAATAATCATTCTCGCTTTTTATTCGGTGGGTAGTGGGTGATGGTTGGAATTTACTGATGTTTGTGACTATGATTTACTATGTGAAAGGTAATTTAACATAGGCGTATACTAGTGTTGAAGATGTAGTTTTAGGGCCCGCCGATTAAACTATGGTGTAGTTAACCTCGACGATTAGAGTGTTACAACGCAATATATGCCATTTATTACGTATAAGGCACAATATTTACCTTAAAGTACAGAGAAGTGGCGTAGCTACCATAAAGCTAGCGTAAGCAAGGCATAGGGGCCAACGGCACTTTGGGGGCACTTTTGCCTCTTCAAAAAAAGTAAAACGTCGCATTGAAATTTTAATATTTGTTTAAAAAAATAATTTAAAAAAAAAGAAAAATTCAGTTTATTTTCTATAGTAAAAATAATTTAAAATCTCCAAAAAGGACCCAAGTCCTTTCTTACTTTAGTGGGATTCAGTGGGGGTGTGGGGGGGGGGGGGCGTCGAACAGTGCTCATTAATAATAATTTTACTACAGGCGTTGTCGCATTGAGAGAATCAGCCTGTACATGAACTTGAACTTTGGCTATTTTGTAAGATCGACATCCAGCACCCGTAAATCTACATGCATCGCTACAAACCTCAACTGACTGGGAAATTCCCTACCCCATCATACAGACCTACTCAATGCTTTCATGCAGCACACCCTAGTGCGTCTGAGCAATAGTGTGGACCAACACGCACCCCCACAACAAAGATCCAAAAAATATCAGTTTTATAAAACAAGATCACTCGACTAAAAATACACAATTTGTAACGCGTTGATGAAGTGCTTACAGATTGCTTCTTTACCGTGGTATGTGAGCCTATATAGCAGGAAGGTTAGTTAGTATACATATTATTTAACATTCTACTCTAATCGGTAAGGAGATTTTTATGTGTATGATGGAATTCTTAAATTTCACTATTTGTAGATTTGCCCATTGGGTCATTAAGTTAGCCATCCTAAGATTCGAACATACAGACGCAGCTAAGATAAATCCCAGAAAACTTATTAATCATTAAAAAAAATTAAAAGTAAGGAAAAAAACCACAGATCTAAATAATTTATGAGAAATTTTTTAAAAAATTATTTGGTTAGTGGCGTCACAATGCCGGGTGTTAACCTTACGTGTTTACTAAAGAAGTCACCACATCGTACCCAATTTAGCATTTTCGGTGGGGTGTCATCCCTCGCTCACTAATCTTTTTTTAGCTTGATACAACTTAGTTTTGCTAGTAAATTTTGCAAGGTTTTGTCATGGTGTCAATCCTAAATGTTGACATCCGATGCGGATCGCACCTTTGACCCCGCCTTATAACGCTACTGTGTTTCTTTACTTAACAAATTAACTGTAAGACTGTAACATTTTTATAAAATCATATAATAATATAATAATAATATAATAATATAGTATAAATACAAAATCAGGATGTATTAAATATAAAATATAAAGTGTATTTATATTATTTAAAAAAATCCTCCTTCTTAAGTAGCAGTTGATTTCTTCGTTTAAATCCATTGTAGCCTGACGGCTGACGAAGGGGCCCACTGATAATTTCTGCATCGGGGCCCGAAGGCCATTAAAATTAAGCACATCATTTTTAAGAGAGAGAGAGAGAGAGAGAGACGATTACATTAAAAAACTATGTGATAGTCTTTACACATTGTGCAATTTAATTTTATAATATGCTAGAATCATTAAAAGAGTAAAGTTACGAATCTCAAATCAATGGGAGATTTTCAAGTTAATCAATGCAGTGTATTATACATATATGAATGTATGTATATTATACGTTTCGTCACTAATCAATTGGTTTTATGAATTTCACTATAATACCAATTTTTTAAAGAAATTGAATGCATTCAATTAAAATATTTTTTTTAATACAGCGTCTATGGATCTCCGATGAACGGTTTCAAATCGCATCCGAATTTTATGACTATATACTGTATATACAGAAACATCGCATCGCACCATTCTGGGGCAGAAACCTCCACATGAGTATTCTCATTAACTTCCCAAAGCTCCAAGGTGATCAAAAAAAAGTGTAGTAATGCATATAAGGCACACAAACAAAAACTCCGACAAACATATTAAGAGAGAGAGAGACAGCGAGAGAGAAAGAGAGAAAGTGAGAGATGCATAGGTGGATATTTATAATCAATAATTACATGTGTACAAAAACATAAAATAACAAAATAATGTCAATGTTAATTGCAGTAAAAGCAAATTTAACGAGTTGTGGTGGGGGAGTATATCGACAATACATCATATAAATTATAAAAGAGTTGAATTATAAAGAAAACTCAATATCGTTTTCAAACCATGCATTGTTATATATTCAATTTAAAAAAAAAAGAATGGATCTTTCAGCGAAAACATAAATATAATATTTTAAAATATTTTAAAACTGTTTAATTTAATAACTGATTTTAGTTATATTGTTTATTGTTTCTGCAGATTATAGGAAAGTTTATAAGGTACTAGCTAAACGGCAATGTTCAAGACATATTGAATAATATCGGGAAAACTTCATATACAGGATTTTACGTGGCACTAAAAATAACATTATGACGAATCGCCATTTTCAATTCAACATAGCCCTATAGGAACTGTTGAGGAAGGTATGTACTTTTTATTTCTCTACCTAGTTTTATTAATGTAGTTGATTCAATTGTAAATTATTGCTGAATGTAGTTATTAAAAGAGAAAGGGGAAGCTCTAACTCCAATTTATTAATGACATTTTTTTAAACACTAAAAACATTAACATCAAGATATATTACGTCATAGTATGGTTGTATGTGTTATAACTTAAGAATATAAGTATGCAAATTATTAAAATAAAGTAACAGACATAAAAATAAATGTGTGTAAAAATTTTCGATTGAAATAACACGAGTTAAACATACATTTTATATTGACTAAGTAAAGAAAAATTGAACGCACATCATGAAACGTCGACCTGTCTGCACACACGGAATTCCACATTGATACATTTTTTTTAACTTTTTAAATCGGCCTACAAAATAGCAGATTTTATATTTTGCTTTATACACATGAGTCAAAATTCGGGACGAAAGAAAATGTTATTGAAAATTAATATATATTAAAATTTAGTTTATACTCAGCACCCCCCCCCCCTTACCACACACTCTAAAAGTTTCTCTGTTTGCCTTCCCCTCCTCTCTGTGAATCCCCCCCCCTCCCCATCGCTAAGATCCTCGTATAGGCTAACAGTATAGGCTTGTCAATCGGGAAAACATCAGATTACACGATTTGTTCTAAAAATATCACATGTGTTTATTTTATGTTTCTCCCTAGACACATAAATTTTCACACTGACGATCAAAAATGAATACGCAAAGAAAAGAATAAAGACATTGGAACGAATTCGGGCACAGACAATATAAGAAGTTATTTATCAAACGATTTAGACATAATAGATTCTATATAAGTTCGGGAAAACCGTAGATTAACAAACTTACGTGGTACTAAAAATAGCACTCTGTGAACGATCGTCATTTTACATGAACATGGGCCTAAACGAGCTTTTGCTGGCTGTATGTAATTATTATATCTCTTTCTATTTATATTAATTTAATAAGTTTTATTTTTAAAAATAGTTCCTAACTTTAAAATAAATAGGCCACATTGAATAAGATAAACTAAAATATGCTTTGATTTATTCTTATTAAGTTATGTCAAACACAAATTATCAATCTAATATACATATATTGGTATATATCGTATGTAATTAACATATTAACATATAATTTTAATGTTTAGCTAGCAGTTGCACGTAGTCAGCTAAACTGTTGTTTTAATTAGGTGGGTGTCGGATGGGTAGCTACTGATTTTTGCGACGCTGAAAAATTAAAATCGTTCATGAATGTTTTTTTTTTTTTGCGGAAAGAAGTGTAGTTTTATGGGGTGGGGATTAAAGTAGATAATGACGTTCTGACGCCAGTTTATTACAGAAGGTTTTTTAACCACTAGAAACAATAACATCAAAATATATATATTATATATATTATATATATAATATATTGTATATATATATATATATATATATATATATATATATATATATATATATATATATATATATATATATATATATATATATATATATTAATACTAATAGTTTCGCTGTCTGTGTATCTATCTATTTGTGTATATATCTGACAAGAACGCTCTAGAGAAAACACAAGCAATTTAAAAACTTGCACAGTGAAACGAAAACGAAATATGACGTCGTATTGAGCATAGGGTAAAAAATAATCTCAAGCCGGAGAGTGCACACAGTAATATGACGTCATTGATTCTCGAGTAAACATTGAATAAAAAAGGCAATTTGGTCTAATCTAAATGGTTTGCGTGAAGAGCTTCTTTCATACAATTCTTCGGGTAGGGGCGAAGTCCCACCCCCGCGTAAGAACGTCTGAGCCCCCCCCCCCCCTCCCCAACTCAAAAGAAATTTCTTCATCGATACTCTATAATAAAATTACCGCCTAATTAATGTGTCTAATCTAAAAAGTGGTTTTCTTGCAATTTCTTTAATGCAATTCTTCGGGTAGTGGCTAAGCGCGACACCAGTGTTTCTTTCAGACTTTTTCCTCTCTTCCGGTAGGGGCGAATCCCCGCCCAGATTCTTCCTTTAGTTTGTATGATCTACAAATGCGACCAGTGTTTCTTTCAGACTTTTTCCTCCCCGGAGAGGGGTGGGGGTACTTGAAATTTTCGGGGGCGGGGGTAGAATTTTCTGGGAGGGGGCGGACACTGGAAAAATTATATAATTATATTTCGTTGCATGGGACGGTAGACATGCTTTGGGGTGTGTGTGGGGGGGGGGGGGGGGGGCTGAGCCCCCTCCTCCCAAGTAGAGTTGCCTGAAAGAAACTCTAAATGCGACTTTTGTCATGAATGAGATTAGGTGCATGGTTTAGGGATATGCCTATAACTATATTTTGTATAAATTAAACTACCGATTCTGGATAAAAATCCGTTTTCAATGTCATTTTTCGATTTCGGTTAAATTGAATAAAGGTGGTGATTTTGGTTTTGGTTTTAGTTTAGAGAAAAGAGACAGCATTATCAACCTAGCGCCCGTTGTATCCTTCCTCAACGGGCCATTTTTCTCGTACGTATATATATATATATATATATATATATATATATATATATATATATATATATATATATAAATATCAGTAAATCTTAGTAAAGTTGTATATATTATATATTATTCGTTTGTAGATGATTAAATAAAGTAACATATTTAAGGAAATTTGTGTACTATTTTACCTGTAGAGAATAACTTATACACATCATATTGACTAAGTAAAGAAAATTGAATACCTATTATTAAGCTTCGACCTATCTGGAAACACGAATTTGACTTTGTGAATTTAACTGTTTAAACCTTATTAAATCTGCATACACAAAAACTAAAGATTTTAAATTGTTTTAGAGCGAATTTTTGTATAACTTTACAAAATGTTGTCAAAGGTCAGTGCTACTATAGGTATGTTGCTAGCAAATTGTATTACTTTATTTGATCAAGCTGTGGATCTGCTTTTATAAAAAACAGTTTGTTTTTAAGTTTTGTTCATGGTTTGCCAATAACTGAACTGAAACTTTTTAATACGTTTAATACAGATGTGTTATGCGAATTGTTGTTATTTTGGAAGGAATCGAGCTTAATGTCAAGCATTGTGTGGGAAAGATTAGATCTAGATTTTATTTGAATAGGATTTCAATACATCCAATGCTCTATAAATTATGAATAGCCTCAGTCAACTTACTAATGGGAAGTAGATTCTAGATTCTATGTCTTTAGGTCTAGATGTCTAAATCTAATGTGTCAGAAGCTATGTTATGGGTATAGGGCTAGGCTATAAATCAATCAGAATGTAAGTCCACTAGTACTAAGTAGGAAAATCTAACAATCAGAAGTCACATCATATGTTTCCTATTCCCTGCACCTATTTTGTATTCTTAATTTACACACACACACTCAAAATACTTTATATTCTGGTGAATTTTCTTGCTACAGTTTTTTGGCTTGTTTTTCTATCTAATATGATATTTTTATTTCTTAGAAAAGCATGAGACATAAAAGAGTGCTCTAAAAAATAAACCATAGAAACTTTTGAAAATAATTTAAACTATACAATGGAAAAAAAGCATTCAAATTTTTTAATTCAATAAATTGTAAATATAGCATCTTAGATGTATCTTAGATACAATTAAACAAAAGCCCAACTATTGTTTAAGTACCTTTAAAACTAAATTGCTATATGATGATTTTGTCATCAGTAGGGCTTCTTTTAAAAAAAGTATAGACATATAGACTATATTTTTTATGTATGCATGTCACCGTCAGCATATTCACTTCTTTTGCACTGTCTAATGGTGCATAAAATATTGTCTACTATTTATTTTAAAAGTCTACTAAATATTTCAAATTGAATTTAATTCTTAAAATATTGGGTTATTCCTTGTTAGTTTGTTTTTAAATTGTATGTAGTTTTCTACCTCTCATTTTTGTTTAAGAAATAAAACAGTTACATTTTTTTTCAGATCTGAAAGTACAAAAATTGTGACAGCTGTGTGTATTTGTTCTTAAAACATATCTTTTTAAACAGAAAACAGTGTAGGCCTACATTTTTTGGTAAGTGTTTGAATAATTACAAAACTATAAGCTTACATTGATCAGACATAAAGGATTAATTTTGAAAGGTTACATCTGAAGTTCTGGATATAATACAGAATATCATTAGAAATATCATATACATAATTTATTAATAACTGAAAGACCATTACAAATTTAACTAAATAATGCATATCTTTTAATTCCATTTTTCGTTTCAATGATTAATTGTATTTAACTTGTATGTATCTTACAGGACAATTGCAGGTTTTTAATAAAGCACTTTGAATGTCTAAAGCAACACATTTCATGGAAAATTCCAACAAAAAGCCTGAATTCTCCACGATTACAGGTAATGAACAACTTTATTATACATAAATTAAGTGTCTGCTCAGTAATTTAAGGGAGAATTAATAAATCTTCTATAAATGTGAGCTAATCTAGCAATACAATTATGTTTTGTTATAGTTTTATGTCAACAGGTAGAGGTATACTTTTATGTTTAATTATTCAGAAAAAAATTAAAATGTTTTTTGTTCATTTTAATGGGTTTGCGTTATTATATCTTCCTGTAAGTAAGGAAAACTAACATACTTATAGTTTTGTTTTCAGATGTAGTGCATATAAATCTGTGCTAGCATGCACATTATATGTATTAAAATAATATGTGACTTTTATAGTATAGAAATATTTATTTGTTTTAAACAGTTTAGAAAATGTTCCCTTGTTCTGTAAGAAAACCATTAATTTCTTTTTAAGATTTATCATGCTGTGAAAACCCCAACAAAGCTAGACACAGTTACAAAGCAGGTGTGTTTTGTCCAGGTAAGAAAAAATAAATATAAGCTGAATATAATAAATCTAAAATTATACATTTGTGCTAGTTTAAATAAATAAAGCATAGCTAATTAATTAAATTAAAAGAATTTTATATAATTTTTAAAGCTATTTTAGTCAGTTATTAGTTTCCCCTATTCCTGTAGGAAATCATGAAGCTGAGATGTGCTATGGAGGAGAAGCTGATCTACACAAACATGTTACTGGTTGTACAAAGAATCCAGGTCACAAAGATTTTATACCTCTTAAAGATTTCAACTCAAATTGTCTCCCCTCACGTTACCATGACGACGACCTCGTGTTTAAGACAATCAAAACAATGGCAGCCCTAACTGTCCAGGTAAAGACTAAATTCACCAGTCTAGAGAGACCAGAGTTTTACCCAGGCACTCAAGTTCCATATCCATGTTATAATGACAGAGGAAGTCACGTGATGAGGTTAGGGACGGGGAGGGTGTGCCGTGTGGATAAGTACAAGGAGAGGGACAGAAAAACTTGTCATTGTGCCAAGTGTCAAGTCTCTGCCACACCCAGCAAAGTGTGGGCGGAGGTTTGTGTGATGACAGCCAAACACGTGGTGTTTGATGACAGTGAGGCGAGACAGACCAGGTGTGTTTTAGGTTTCGATGACAATAAAAGTCCAGTGGTCAGTCTTGATGGCTGGGTGGTGGAGGTGGGTGGGTCAGACATTGAGAGAGACTTGTGTAGGTTGAGATATGTGACATGTGACTTAAAGTTGATTGATGAACTGCTCAAGATGTGTCGGCGCTTTGATGGTCTGTGGAGGGAAGTAAGAAACAAATACAGGAGATTTGATGATGTGGACAAGTTGACCGTTGTAGTGTCACATCCTCATGGCTGTCCTAAACAGGTCTCTGTAGGACAATGGACACACAAACATGAGAGGGATGATGATAATGATATTGATGATTTGACTTATATTATCACCTCGACCAGGTACTGGTACACAACATGTACATGTCCTGGCTCCAGTGGAGCGCCTGTCTATAGGCCGGGATATGACAAGTGGCCGTATAACCATCCCCACAGTGGATGGGACTCTGAAGGAAATTATAGTGGGGAGAATGTGGACTGATGTAGCTGTTAGTTCTCTCCCCTTGTCTACACAATGTAAACAAACAAAATGGCGGAACATTTCCCGTCATTAAGCAGTTTGTTTGTAGACTGGCATGTCTTGTAAACATTTTATTACATTTAAATGATTAAAACGAATGTTTTGATTGATTTAAACCGTTTAATTCACATTTACATTGAAGGATTTAAGAGGTTTTTTTGTTACAAAAGTTTTCAATAATCTGCTTATACTTTTTGTCGGCAAATTGTTGTCATATAGATTTCTACCTAGATCTATAAGCTGGATATTACCTGTAAATAAAATGTAACCTACCTATCAAATGTCATATTTAAACTGTTTGTTTTTCTTTACAAAATGTTCACACTAAGGGACATTAAATGGTAAAAGAAAATGTTTTTCTTCTGTTGTTATTTTAATCGTTGTTGTCTGTCAATGTCTGTTGATGTTTAAGTTGTTGTTAAACAGCTCATGTTGTGATGCTGACGTACGCGCTAGGTTGTCATGGGTTGTAAGTTTAAAGTTTACAACAAAGTCCATTTGTTTATGCCTAATGCACCTGTAAGACTAATTTAAATGAGATAATTTGAAACAAAAACGGAATTCTAATCATTTAAAAATATTTCTACACATCACAATCACATACTATATTTAGATATTTCGAAGCTTCTAGACCTGCTCCAAAAGAAAAATGAAAAAAAAATAGTTTCATGCTGTCATTGACTGATATTTGTGTAAACATTGTTGTCATTATAATTGACTAGAACTCCTTTAACAAACCTTGAATGTTATAGTATAAGACAACTTTTATAAAAGTTGATAGATCGGCAGTGATAAAACAACGAGTGTTACTTTAAATCATAGTTTTCAAACATGAAAACTGTAAAGCAGGGCATTATTTGGTAACTGAAGAAATGGGATTAAATGGTCGAGTAAAATAGTACGCGCATTTTGTCCCCAGAGACAAGAGTTTGGTCCCCAGGTTCGATTACCTTTCTTGATGCACAGATCTGATTTGTACCTGGACATGTTTGGAGTAAAATATTTCTGCTGGGTGTTCCGTGTGGACTCAATGACATACTAAGTCATGGGTATAACACCAACACATGAACTCTACTTTCTCTGTCGAATTGATCGCATGATATGCAAGCTGGCTTTACTTTGAAATTGCAAGTCAATTTAAATATAATATGTAACACATTGTTATACACAACTGTTATACCAATTCACTTATTTTCGAATATCGATACATTTTCAGTTATAGCTTGAAGATGAATTTGGGGACAATATCGGTTTCATGAGTTTACTCTCTGTTAAATAGTTTTATTAAATGATAAAATAAATGTATGAAATAAACATCCTTGGAAAAAAGCTAAGCTATAAATACTTCGATCTCTAAATTGGAAAAAACTACTTTTTTGGTCAAAGGGAAGTAACAATGAAATAAAGATTCAATGTCAAGTAATTACATAGTTGTTTCCCTGTTTATTAATTAAATTAAATTTATGAAATTTTTATATTACACAATAAATTTTTTTAACAGTTATTTGAGTATCAAAATGCGCCTGTCTAACACAGATACAAGTTGGCATCATCTGTTCAACAGAATTCGTCACAAGTCAGGATCTCAAGCAATAGATAAAGTACTGAACTGTTAGCCGAGTCATCCTCTACCTAGGTGATGACTGTGAGCCCCAAACATTACAATTGCGGTGTGTCACCAGCAGTAGATAAGGCCAACCTTGCGGTGTGTCACATATGTGTAAAATTATGTGTAGAATTCTTAAATTGTGTAAAGCAGCTCATTATATTATTTTAAAAGTTGTAAGTAATTCAAGTATAAGATCTTAATCGTAAATATGAAATGTCGTCTACATAAGTGAAAACATAGTTAAGATAAATCATGACCAACGACATTAATGTAAAGTACCACTTACATGTATAAGAAATCGATCAAAATTCATAAGAAACCTGTTGACATAATGTAGTACTTGAAATGTGAAATTTCGTCCACGTTACTAAAAGCTATTGGCTTTTGAGAAACATTAGAGTAAGTACAAGTTCCGCTTACTAGATATCACTGAAAACCTTCTACAGATGTACAAATTTGATGTAATTCCTAAATATTAAATTTTGCTTACCCATCTTATAAGCTACTCAAGTTATCGTGTTCATAGACAGGCAGAAATTGACAAATTGCAAAACCAAGGTTTTTTGCTCGGCACGGATGCAAATCGTCAACCTTTTTTAAATTCACGATTTATATATATCGTACGATTACAATTTAAGGTTACAAGATACACTTGTTTTCGATAAATTTTTAATTATGCTTCCCAAAATTTTTATTTCTTTATTCGGTACTAATACCTTTTTTCTATCTAACCCGAACATTTCGGACTTCTACAGCTTACGATTATCCGTTTATTGCGACGTAAAATATGGTACCCGAACGGTAAGTTTTCACATTACTACGCGGATAGCGGCTATCTTCGATCGAGTATTACATCATCTATTGCCTGCGAGGCACCATAAACTTTACAACAATCTATCGGCAAAGCACTCGTGTACCCGCTGGTGTAGTGACAGGGGCGGAACTACAGTGCCGCCAGACCCCGCAATGGTTGTTTGTAAAAAGAATACTGTAGCTGCGGTTGGGTTATTTTTATTCTATAGACACCATCCGACGCTCTTGTATATTCTTTATCCCTTTGTTTTTAAACCATTGTGCAAGCCGAATCCTCCTTCACCTACAATCAAGCACACGCTGTTTTCGGCAAAATTCTTTTGAAAAAAAAAATCCATTGCGCGAGAGACCACTTCCATGTCTTATTTCCCTTTTTAAAATTGTCAAATATTAGTGATCATAAGCTCATATTAATCGATGTGTACTAAACAAATAAAAAATAAATTAGTTCTTCTAATTATCATTTTTTAAAAATACATACTAAAGAATGACATGGTACAAAAAAGGAAATTTATTTTAAATTAATAACATAAATACAAAAAATATATAAATCCATAACAGGATAAACCATTACACATACAAAGCTTTCATGTTTCATATTCTTTTGACCGGCTCGATGATCGGAAATATTACAGCAGACATAAAATAAAAGAAGAGGTTTTCAAACAGACTGAAGGACTCACACACAATACATATTGTTATCAGCCATCTTGTTTCTAGATAAACAAAATAATCGCCTGTCTTGTTCGTTTCCTTTATTTGCTTATACTCTTCTATTTGATGTTTTAAATTATACAACAACATTTATGTTAATAATTGAAACTTTGCAAAAAAATGTACTGTTGATTGTCATAGGAGCACTATTAAACACTGTTTGGTACGTTTTATACTAAGCTGAAACAGTGCATCATGGACATGTCAGTCAGTGTGAGTGAAGACTGTACGAAGTCCATCCACTTCTCCCCCCTCAACCCCTTCTCGCTATTCAACCAACGACCAGTTTATAATCTTGTTACATCATGTTAAGATAGGCTTGAACGTGTTCATCAGACTTTACATCGGACTGTAAACGACACATGTGTTAATGTGTATGCCCTTCGGTCCGTGTAGGGTTTGCTAGCAACTAATGTAAATACTAGATGGATAGCTGATAAGCATTCATTGTACGGAAACAAAGTGCTTGACCCTATCTACAGAGATGTGTTATTCACGGTTGAATAACCATACGTAATCTATGTCTCATTCAGAGGTGTAGGCTATTATTAAAAGGCAATAATATTGTGAAAGCTAGAATTCAATTACGGAAATACTTTCTATTGAGGTGAGAAGACCGGCTAACAAACAAAACTTAATCTGGATTGATGATAGCTGTTCTGATAATAACATGCGATGGATAGGTTGTGTAATTTTTGTACATAAATGTACGTAAAAAATTTGTATTAAAAATTAAATACCAGGTATCGCAATGAATAAACGTAGAAAGGAATAAACGTAGAAATGTATAGTTTAGTTTGAGAAATCTAAATTCTTCATCAGCTTTTAAAAATCATAGAGGTTTGAAAAGGTGATAGTTTTCATACCTTTCCGTGGTTTCCATGCCAATCATTACTGCTATTGGCGACTATATATTATTTTTGTCTATAGGTTAACAACTATTAACATATGAATTTATTAAACACCCAGAAATGTGTTATATAAAAAAATTGTATCCGTATAGTCTATCCTTAACAGGTGAACACATAGTGTTTAACAGGTGAAGAGAGTGTTTGACATTTGCACACATAGTGTTCAATATTTAAAGACATAGTGTTTAACAGGAGAAGAGAGTGTTTAAGATTAGAACACAGCAGAGGCGTAGCGACCCTTCCCGGCGCCCGGGGACATACTTTCAATTTGGCGCCCCCTTGGGAGCAAATTTTCGATTTGCACCACCCCCCCCCTCGAACTTTTCATTTGCACCACCCCCCCTCTCAAACTTTCGATTTGCACCCCCCCCCCCTCGAACTTTTCATTTGCACCCCCCCCCCCTCAAACTTTCAATTTGGCGCCCCCCCTAAGGTCGGCGCCCGGGGACATATGTCCCCCCCGCCCCCCCTCGCTACGCTACTGGAACACAGAATGTTTAATAGGTAACCACATAATATTTAACACATGAACACAATCTGTCTAATGTAGTCAACAGCTACACAATTATGTACTCTAACATTTTCATGTGTAAAAACAAATATAATGTGGTAAACATAAAACTACTCAATATAAAAATAAATTAAATAGTAAATCGTTTAAGTAATACATATAAAAGTGATATAGTTGCCATATATTTGTTTAATATAAGGGTTTTGTTATTCAAACATCGGCGACATTCTCATCAAGGTAGGTAGCCAATTAGTGGAGATCTTTTTAAGTAGCATGATTCTTCCAGAGTTTCTTCCAGGCATCTCTTCGGGGGGGCTCCGCCCCCCCGAAAAATTTTTACCGCCCCCCCCGAACGAAATGAAATTTGTATCATTTATATAGAAAATATATACTTTTAACAGTGTCCGCCCCCCCCCCCCCCCGAAGAAAGTTTACCGCCCCCCCCCCCCCCCCCCCGAAGATTTCAAGTGCCCCCCCGGAGAAAAAAGTCTGGAAGAAACACTGGATTCTTCATACTTGAACATCTACTTTTCACTCAATTTAACAGCAAGGACAGTAATTAAAATGATTAAACCAACTACCACGATCAACGCAATAATCAATGTCTTTCGTTTGGAACATCGTGCAACTGTTGGGATAAGCATTTGTTTGTCAGTCGTGTTAGTGCTGTAACTATAATCTCCAACTTTCTGTGTAGGTTTACTGTATTTGAGTCGCTGTCGAATACGTTTGGCGTTATCAAAGTCACGTGATGTGTATGGTGTGTACTTGACCTGTGCAACAGCAGACATCAGCTTATCAACCTGTTCTCTCACCTTATCCTCGTCTCTAGTTTTGTTGTTGAACATCACACACCTGAATTCGCATTCCTCCAAGAGAGTCCTGAAATTTCCAGACTGATTGCGAATCCAAACATCAAAACTTCCGCTCTCTTCATTGATATAATTATCCCCATACGTCATGAGAATGATCCCACACTTTCTAAAAACATCCTCCCCAAATATCGACTTGACAATTCTCACGCTTTCCTTCTCTTGGTTGGTAAATCTTGTACCTAACTTCAACACCAGGACCAAAGCCGTGAACGACCGCGAGAGTTTGTTGTTAAACATACTCTCCACATCAAGAACCAATGTCTTCATATCTCCGTTTAAATCTTCAGCCACATCCCCTATGCCAGTGCCGTCAACCACCTCTACATTGATACCGTTTACAACGCCTGAATGTTTTATCATGGTGTTAGATGTCAGAGGAAATGGTTTTCCTGGAATAATAGAGTTCCCAGTTGAGCTCGTACCATTTCCTGTTCTACCTACCAAAAGCAGTTTGTAGAAATCGGCCATAGTTTAAATTAGTTCAAATCTCCTCCAAACGTTTTAGCAGCTATTCGACCCTAAACTATAGATAATAACATATAATTCAGAACCACAAAGTTAATGCTAGACTATTTTTAAATCGATAGAAATGACTGTGTTAGGTACAGTAAATGATTGCATTTATTTCATTTTAGTAATCTTTGTTGATTTATAAAAACAATACTAATATTTTATAATCAATATTATTTAGCAGGTAGGCTAGGTACACAACTAATTAATACACAACTATGCCAAATATTCGTCTTACTACGGCACAAAATGTTGTAAACATAAAATTATAGAGCAGAGTATTGCATACAAAAACAACTACCTTACCTTCAGTGTGTATCAAATGTGTGCACTGTTTCTGCAAAAGAAGACACGATAAAGAATGTCACATTCAGACAATACCCAGCACATAATAGACAAATATAGACTAGAATTTCTTGTCGTCAGCTTTTAAAATCCCAGCTTGATGCGCCCCAGTAACAACAGGTACACGTAAAGAAAACGTGTTTGTTACCTGTAAAACATTTCAATGTCGTGTTTTCTAGGAAAACAGAACTCTAAGCTGTGGGTTGGAGATTCGTCACAGGTAATACAACACACAATACCCAGCTTAATGCTTTTTATACAGGTATCAACATTTGTCACAGTAGGTGTCTAGCAGAGAACGTACGTTGTATTTATAAACAACGTCTTCTGTTTTAACATTTCATTTTCGTGCACTCCGGATACTTGTCTACTAAATATCTGCCAACATAAATTCAAACTTTCCATCTCACTACATTTCACCAACAATTCATCTATAAAAAACACATGCCGCTTGTTTAAAATGTACACGTATGAGTTTTTCTCCACCCAGGGGTAGAGCAGGCAGTAGAAACGTCAAGTAAAATCTCTGGGGGGGGGGGGGGGGTCCTGGGACACAACATCGCTTTTCAGGTTACTTATTCCCGTTCTACGTGCGTTTTCGTGTAAAATTCATACATAGAAATGAACAATGAAAATGTAACCAATGAAGCTTTCTCTAATCCTAGTATGATTTAATGCACCTAGTCCACAACAATGTTAAACCCATTCTAAACATTAAAATCCCAAGGCATCTTTTGTGTATATATCTATATCTATATACTTAATTTTACTTGTGATTTATGACCACTATTTTTACTATTTATTGTTCAACTTTCGCGACCATCAATAACATATTTAAATATTTTCTCCAAGCTGTGATTCTGCATCTAACTGCAATCCAACTTATCGCGAAAAGTAGCTACACGAAAAACTACGAAATACTTGTGCAACTTCACATAAGTGTCGTCCATCAATGATATCCCAACATTTAGCTTATTTTAAACTCTCGTCTCACTCATCAAATTCATCAAACATATTTTAACTCCATTCTAAAGTGATACATCGAGCAATTATCCAAAAAAAAAATAATAACTAGCAGGTTAATGCACAATTTGAAATTGTCTGTGTTATTAATTAACAAAAACAACTAGCATCATAATAATTTAACAAGTATTTTAAAGAGTTACACCGTGCAACTGTGAATAAATATTCGTGTGAGCTTATTCTACTTCATAAAAGGCATTTCAATAATTTTTCGTCATCAAATTGGTACTTACTATTCTTTCGACATCGAAACAGCCGGGAACACCAACAGCAAAATATGACACACTCTCTTCTTGTCCTGTTTGATACAAAACTTGCAGTATCAAGACGACCAGAGATCGTGAAAAGATAATTTTCAGATAAACCAGTGCTAAGCTATAAATGATATACACGCAAAACTAAGCCTGTACATACGATTACAGATACACACATATTGCATTGGTGTTGTTATAACCAGTGTTTCTTCCAGAATTTATTCTCCAGAGGGGCACTTGATTTTTTCAGGGGGGGGGGGGGCAGGGGCGGTCAACATTTTCCGGGGTGGGGGGGGGGCGGACACTAGTAAAAGTATATTTTTACTGTATACATTCCATCTCTGTTCACGTTGGCTGTGCTATCTTTTGTTCGTCGCCCCTAGAAAAAAGTTATATGGAATATTTATTACGTTCATATTACTAAATTTAATTCCGGTGATCGCTAGTACTTCCATAAGCAATCGGGAGGGGGGTGGGGGGGTTTATTGTCCAGGGACTGTATGTCTTGCCGGGGGCTTTTTGTCTAGGAAATCAAAATTGGTGTCTATGTGTTGATTGGGGTTGGGGGGGTGTTCTGTACGGTGAGGTCATCATTTGACCGGACACATGTATGGTACGATCATTGTTAAAATGTGTACTGTTGACTGTTATTTTATGTGTAATGGAAACTCGTTATTGTGCTGGCCACTTGTGATTTAATCTCTCAGTATACAGTGTGTTATAAAAAAAATTATCTAATCTATTGTGATGTTCTGACACCGTTTGTTCAAAGACCTTGACACTACAGTTTATGATGGATACACTCAGGAAGCCTATTTCTAGCATAACAAGACAGGCCCTCCCCTTAAATCCACAGGACAGCAGGGGGAGAGGCAGAAAGACTTGCACACGTGACCTGGAAGAAGACACCAAGAAGATTGGATACACCTGCGGACAGTTGGAGAGACTAGCACATGACAGAGACGCCTGGAAAGCTCTTGTCAGCGGCCTATGTCCCAGAAGGAGCGACGGAAAAACCTAACCTAACGATATGATAGCAATAACTCACGATAGTGGAGAGGGGGGGGGGTAGGAGGGCACTTCGAACTATAAGGGAGATTATAGCTTAAAAAGATGGTTTACTGTCATGTCATTAACGTTATCGCTTTTTCTAATTACGGGTAAAAATCGTGCTTACCACCCAACAGCCAACTGCACACGTCTGTACCTGAAGCCAAGTCACATCGTACCGTTAAGGTGTCGACTGGCCTTTCGGTATACAGGGAAAATCTCGGTGGTCCTCTGGTAAAAAAATACCAGTCGGTATCCATGAACGGTGCTGTAATAGGCCTATCAATACTTTGATTTGTATTTGTTTTTAAAGTTTAATTTGTTGGTATTTTATTTGTTTTTAAATTTTAATTTGTTGGTATTTTATTTGTTTTTTAAATGTAATTTGTTGGTATTTTACCATTTTGCATTTTCGTTTCTTTATGTCAATTGCCAAAATCAATTTATGTAGAAAAGTTTCACAATGAAAATTTTAATCCTGGTTAGGTAGCACCTTTTAAAATTCCCCGGCCTGTTTGACACACCAATCCATCCCTTTCACCTTTAACTAGATCATAAACTTGGTCTGAGGTCAGGAGGCGTAGCCTGAGTCATGCCACCTGTTGGATATGGACTCTATAGTCAAGTCACTCTACCTTCTCTCATCTTTGGAGGTACTGAGAATGCCAAAATAAAATCAAACCTATTCTTGTGCTACGACACGTATGCTCCACTGAGTAAGTTATTGCTATTACGTGACACTCTGTAGAGAGAAGGAATTTTGCACTCCGCTTGAAGATAACCGAACGTATTTGAAACAAACTAGTGTTAAAGTTTAAAACAACATTTTAGTGTGGAATCTACTAAATCAGATCTATGGGTTAAGTTTAGGAGTATTGTTATCTATTGTTATATTTTAAGTTTGTAAAAATATACGGTTACAAAATAAATACATGATGATATATCGGTGACGTTTGTATCTGAATGAATGCGTAAGAGCAGATGTTAAGATGGATGTTGCATTATTTTTGGCGTTATAATTAGATTCGGCGTTACAGAGGTCCGCGTGTGTTACAAGCCTGGCCGCATAGCGAAAATGACCAGAGCCCCATAGCGCAACATTCAAATCTAATATACGTAGTTGTTATTTTTGGGAAATGACCCCATGCTCAATGAGGCTTACCTTAGCTATAGTTCTATAGGTGAATCTACATATGTGAAATGTTCAACTCTGACGAGCATATTTGCCTCAACAAACAAGGTTCAAATGGCAATTGAGTTATCCAAATAAGTCTTCGTCTTTTTCTTATCCCCTCCAAACACAATTAAGTATACATGTCAACTGGTTATGCGCTATGGGGGATATCGACTCCGATTTCAGCCTGCTTTCATTTTTTTAAATTTGCTTCCATAACCTTTGACCAACCAAGAACAAACTACAAGGCAGCAGTTGTTTGAATTTGGAGTTGTCTCTCCTAGAAGAGTGGCTGAACCCTCCTCTGTCCGAGGGTTCGAACTCAAGACATTTGGTTCAGCAACCATGAGCTTTATCGACCCCAACCCCCCCCCCCTCCCCCAACCCCCTCTCCCCAAGATAAGTGAGGTATGAGTAAATTAAAGCTGATATTTTCCATAAACAGGGTTTACAAAATATGTGAAAGATAAAAGCTAAGCTACACGTTCAATAACACTTGCGAAAAAACATGTAGCATTTATTTCTCAAATTTGGTGCTTGACAGGCAATGTGAATGTAAAAAAAAATTGTTACAAAACAATCACCTACAATAAATAGCTTTTTATTACAAATTGATCCTCAATAAAACGTAAGTAGTGTAGAAATAGTGAAGTTTTTTTTTTTAAATCTCATTACAAAAAAATATTATATACATACAATTTTATATGTACCAGCCCTCACACAAATTATCATTAGTAAAAAGGATCGTGAGGTACTGAGTTTGTACATTTTAAATTACTTTGTCTTCGTAAATAAAGTCGCATTTACTTTCTCTAACTTAAGTCCTGGATCGGAACTAGTGACTTTCGGGCTATCAGTTGTATGTACTGGTCCCCGACCATTGTGTTTCCCAAAGCTAACATTTTTTTTAAAATCTCCAGAAGTTTGTCCAGCCATTAAGCTTTCGATTATTTTGTTCTTGCTGTTGCCGCTGTTCACACATGTTACTCTGCAATCCTATCACTTTATCTGTAAATGTTTTTATTATTCTATTTATTTTTTCTTTATCTTTTAACAAAGATGATTCAGATAAGTTCATCAACAAAGCTAAAACTGTATAGGCCTCCTTACATTTTGAATCAAACACGTCTTGATTCTCCGTTGTCTCAAGTTCTTTAACGATCCTTTCTGACCGCTGTAGCAGATTTTCACAGCACTGTTCATAACTATAAAATCCTTTCGACTTAGTTCGTTTCACATTGTCATACAATAACTCCCACTGTTTTATAACTTTACTTTCGTCTTTAGTTCTATTATTAAAAATCACAAACCGGTTATCAACTTCTTGAAACACAGCTTGGATATCTCCTCTTTGCTCTCTACACCAGACACTAAAGTGTGTATGGGTGTCACCATCTTCATGATCTAAATCAAAGTTATCTCCATATGTGATAACAATAATACCATAATTTCTGATACAATCCTCTCCTAACAAATATTTTATTAACGAGATCGCGTCTTTCTCTTGTTTGGTAAATGGAACTCCATATTTTAGCACAATCAGCAGAGCTGTAAAACCGTGGGGACAACTGCGTAAGGCATCAAGCAATGCATCGATTTGACAGGCTTCAAAATAGTTGTCGTCGATACTAAAGCCATCGCACACATTGATGACCGAGTCTCTATTATCTGAATTATATCGGTCGGTTATCACAGCAATTCCGTCTTTAGACGAAACGTTCTTGTCACTGCCTTCGGAGCGAACCATACGAGCTATTGAGTCTCGCACGAAACTTTTTCCATTTCCTGATCTCCCAACCAGAAATAACACATGATCAGCAACTATCTGATTACCTTCAGCATTAGACGCTAGCATTTTCTTTGACGACTGAGTTGTTTCATTATTTGACGCCTGGTTTATTTCATTTGTTGATGCATTATCTGAAGCCTGGATTGTTTCATTATCTGACGCATAATCCGGCGACTGGGTTGTTTCACTTTTTGACGCATTATCCGACGCCTGGGTTGTTTCACTTTTTGACGCAAAATCCGACGCCTGGGTTGTTCTATTATTTGTTTCCATTTTTAACATTCCCCCTGTAATTGTTTTACGGTATCGTTAGCAAATGAAACATTTTAATCAACTTCCTTAATTAGCTGTAATTCTATCAAGACGCTTAAAGTAACTTGGGATAACATATTTGGTAGTGACGAACATCTGCATGCAAGTAAAGAAAATTAATGATGTAAGTAAAATGCGCATATTCCCAAACAAGTGGAGTTCAGTGAATTATCTTTACTAGCCTCCATAAAAACTACACGTAAGAAATTATCGTCAAAATTACCAAGCGTGTATGGTATTTTATGCTATGTTGAACGCTAGCACTAGGTCGACATAAAATTAAATAATTATCATTAAAAAAGTTTTTAAAAACCCACGTTTTCTGATTGAACTAAAAAGTAGAAAATAAATGCTATACATCACAATAATGCAAGCGATCACTCTACTATAAGCGATGAAAAACGTGGGGCGCCGAAGTAAAAGTTTTTATCGGTCATTGTTAATATAAGATGTAAAAGTTGTATTAATATTGATTAGATAATACTATTGACATTTATTAGGGAGCTTGTAGAGAGTCAACAGTATTAGAAACTGTAAGAAAATCACAGCGACCCACGTTTATCATCGCTTATAGTAGAGTGATCGCTTGCATTATTGTGATGTATAGCATTTATTTTCTACTTTTTTGTTCAATCAGAAAACGTGGGTTTTTAAAAACTTTTTTAATGATAATTATTTTCTACTTTTTAGTCTTTGTTTGTTTGTTTGCATTCAAATCTTGCTATCGATTTTATCTTCTCGCATTCACTTTTTTTTGGGTAAACGAAGACAACTCGTAAAAAAACACGTGCCTTTTTCAATCGACGTTTCTTCTGTGTTGCCGTTTCTTTCACCGTTTTGCCCACGCGTGCAAACCAGTAAGTCACAAGAGGAAAAGTACTGAACCTTGTTTTCATCAAATTACAAATACTAGGTTATGTCCCTTTTTTGTACAAATATATAGGGGTCTAAAATGATCAATACATTTTTTTCATGGATCAATTTAGTAATAATAATAATTCTATTGTCATTGGAAACAAAGCTTCCCTGAAAATTTCAGCGCGCTAGCTAGCTGGGAAGTGCCCGAAATTTCGATCGCAAGATTTTATTTGAAAAATAAACAAACAGACGCGAAAGCAAGTTAAAGAAAACGTGGGAATAAAATACGTTGAAAACAATGAAAGGCTATTTTTATTTAATTTGATCATTAAAAAAAAATCAAGAATAAAATGTTATTATCGCCAGACTTGAGTTTAAGATTAGCTCTATCATCCTAAAAGATCAGCTGCACAGCGTAGGTTTATAGATATTTTTTGTGAAGAAATTTCGATTACAACATGTGATCTAAATTAAATGGGCATACCTTTTTCCTCCTCGAGTTTTTCACTAGACAACTTATAATCAGAACATTCTTTCTCGAGTCGCGCTAGTTTGGTTTGCACCTCCTCTATTAGGATATGAAAATATACAAAGTACAAAATATATGCCCAAAAATGGCCAGTTATTTCATTCTTGATATTGAATCATTTCAAAGTAATTTTTGAATGAATATCGAATGAAAATTAACTATGGTAATTTTTATCAATAATATTTAATTTTTTATCATTTCTAAATTATACAAAGATATAAATATAATTCTACGTTTTTCAATTTCAAATATTAAAATTCCTCAAAAAATGCACTGGCCTAACGGTTTTTTAAAATAATGTTCATACTTTATTTAATATGCATTTCAGTTTATTGATAAGAGAATATTAAAACTAGTATTAATATTACTAAACTACTTTTATATTCGCTTTCTCCGTCATTACTGTATTTAAATTAGTGTTTACTGATTCATAATAATACATATGCTAACTTACCAATTATTGCCTCATGCAACATAACCCCTTGCTCCCAATGACCACATTTTTATATCATAAATACACCATACAAAACATTGTAACCTAATATTATGTTTTATGGGTCCGCTCTCGTGTGTATACACAAACATTTGGTAGTGACGAACATCTGCATGCAACTAAAGAAAATTAATGATTTGAGTAAAATGCGCATATTCCCTTAAACATTTAGTATGCTTACGTTTTTCTTTAAATATCTGTTCAATATACGTGAGGCTTTCATCGAGTTTTTTTCTTGTATTTTCTAGTTCGATAGTTATATCTCCTGATATTTAAGAATGAATGAAGTCATGCTTTATTAAAATCCAAGACAAATTTAAGAGACTGCATCTTATATCTGTATCGAAATGTTGAAATGCACAGATAGATTAAATAATTCAAAATCAAATATTTATTTTCCAGTGCTTGGATTCATTATATAATAAAATGGAATTATAAATTAAATTATAAGATTTACTTTATATTATTGTATTTAAATGAATTAAAATTACTACTATCATTTACTTACTGTTTTGTTTTTGGAGTTTTTCGATTGTCTCTTTCAGCTGCTCATCTGTTTTAATATTTGGTTTAAATTATTCAAAGATTAAAAACAATTCAAATTAGTAGCTTTAATAATGATATCATTGTTTTGGATGCTTTTAGTCCTTTCAGTTAAAACGGATTTATATTAAGCTTTATTATGTTAAGAATCACACAAGTGTAGTTCAGTGAATTGTCTTTACTAGCCTCCATTAATAATGCTCGTAAGAAATTATCGTCAAAATTACCGAGCGTGTATGGTATTTTATGCTATGTTGAACGCCAGCACTAGGTCGTCATAAAATCAAATAAAATACGTTGAAAACAATGAAAGGCTATTTTTATTTAATTTTACCATTAAAAAAATCAAGAATAAAATGTTATTATCGCCAGACTTGAGTTTAAGATTGGCTCGATCATCCTAAAAGATCAGCTGCAGAGTGTAGGTTGATAGATATTTTTTGTGAAGAAATATCGATTACAACATGTGATCTAAATTAAATGGGCATACCTTTTTCCTCCTCCAGTTTTTCACTAGACAACTTATAATCAGAATATTCTTCTTTGAGTCGCGCTAATTTGATTTGCAGTTCCTCTATTTTGATATGAAATTATATAAAGTGCATATATATATATATATATATATATATATATATATATATATATATATATATATATATATAGATATATATAGATATATATAAGAATAAATATATAAATATATAAGAATATATATATATATATATATATATATATATATATATATATATATATATATATATATATATAAAGAATAGGTGTATGATGTTTAATCTTCATATACATAACAGCATAAAAAACAACGATCCTTTAGATTACTTGTGTTTGCATATTTCCAGGTGTTAAGCTATTAAAAATCTAAAATCGATATTTTGTTATCCCCTTTATCGTTAAACTGTCGCGTCGAAAGGAATTGATTATGTTGTAGAAACTACATTCTGCGAGAGCTCTGCTGGTCGGGATTTATTCATCTAACGTAATTCTCTTCTCAAATACATTCGTGTTGTCAAATGATATCATCTCCTTGTTGAATGACCTGTGCTTTGACAACACACCCGTTTAAGACTGACGTAGAGTGAAATATACATCCATCTAGTGACTAGATTCTAGTCCAAGAACGTGGAGTCTCCAAACATCAATTTTCAAATGCCAAATTTGAATGTGCCCCATTTTTGTAACAAGACGACACATACATTGGCACTTATAATTTGGGATAACTGGAGAAAATAAACATTTTTTTTCCAAAAATTGTTGTTATTAATACATGAACAAATTATTTCGAATACGATGCTTTGCAGAACAAAGTCTTTAATTGTAACTGAAAAGAAAAACAACCCTTAAATTACTTTTCTAGAATAAAAATGTGTGACTTTAGCTAAAATCTGTTTAGAAAATCAGCAATCTGCATTCTATTTTATGGGTTTTGGAAATTGACAGATTATCCATGTTGACCACTTAGGTATGAGTGAAGGTTTGCATTTTCTTCCCTAATTATGTCCAATTCCTTTCTTTCTCAAGTGTTTAGAATATGTATGCAAATCGTATTCATTATATAAATTTCCTTTATGTATTTCCATATTCGACGCAAACCGGTCAATGACTTTTTAAAAGATTGAAGGACTAATACATTTTTTTTATCTCTACAAATTTCAGTTGTCGCTGAGAGTTTTGGAATGTCTACCAAAAAAGGGCTGCTGTAGCTGACGTCTTACAAAAGATATATAACACTGTGATGCCGACAGTAAACGTATTTATACAGACACTTAAAGCTCTGAATCACACTGTGGGTTATATTTAGAGAGAGGTATTGGTTGTATTGCACCATTAACCATTTATCTAGTCTGTTTCTACCAAATAATTTGAAGTTTGTTTCTGTCGATTTAACAGTTATGTTTCAGCTTTAGTTTACCATTGCTTTTCAACTCGATTTTCTGAATTGTAGGCAGAGTTTCTTGCCCCCCCCCCCCCCCCCGACATTTTTTTCCGCCCCCCCCCCCCACCCGAACGAAATACGAAATGAAATTTATATAATTTCTATAGAAAATATTTACTTTTAACAGTGTCCGCCCCCCCCCCCCCCGAAGAAAGTCTACCGCCCCCCCCCCCCCCCCCGAAAATTTCAAGTGCCCCCCCCCCCGGAGAATAAAGTCTGGAAGAAACACTGATTGTAGGTCGTAGAAATACGAGATTGTATAATGCAGGTATGCATCTTCATCAGGGGTTTCAAAATAGACAATTTTGTTAATTACTTCATTTCATCAGGGTTTTTTTTCTCTACCATGAAAAGAACTATGTGTAATTGTGGTAGATCCCATTTTTAAAATTCGATTACGTAGAACTTGGCACTAATACTTCCTAATATGTTGAGTTTATTTAAGTCTTTAAGGAACAAAAAAATCTTAGTTTCAATTCAAATACTCTTGCTACCCAGCAGATCATATGGCAATTGGTTAAGACTGTTTCCTTAATTTCCTTGCAATTTAGATTGAGTGCGAACTTATAAATAAATTAGGCTTGCGATACTTCTGATCATAGCTGGAGCACCCTGAAAGTTTGGCACTAATTTCATCAACTCTCATTAACTATTGAACATTTGAAAAAATAAAAATGTTAGGATAAACAAAAGCGGTTAATTACCAGAATCACTTGCAAGTTGCGCTTCGTTCTCTTCTTCTCTAAGCCTTAGTTTAATCTCATTTAGTTCGTTTTGAACTTGTTCTGTTAGAAAACGACATGTGTTTGAGAGAGAGAGAGAGAGAGTGAGAGAGAGAGATATGTTAGTCATCTATCTTTAAAAAAGAAACCGAATGTAATAACTTGTTTTTTTAACTTTTCAGCTGATCAGATATAATTTACCAAGCTGTACTTTCAGTTTCATCAATTTTTTTCTTTGTACTAATTGATCATCTGTGAACAAAATAAGCAATAACGTAAGTTTTATAAGCTACATATAGGCCTAACCAGTTACTAAATATTTTAGAAGGGCTTGATAGCAATTTAATATCAACACTGGTACAATGCGAACGCCTACTGCTTAAGTATCAATATAAATGAATCGGTGCATATATATATATATATATATACATATATATATATATATATATATATATATATATATATATATATATATATATATATATATATTAAAAAAGGTCATTCAAATAATGTTCTACCATAAAAAAAATTAAAGTACTCATATATACAGAAAACGTTTGTGATTTAAATGACAAAAACCAAGCTCTAAATTATAATTAAATGCATTTTTTTTAGTATTTAAATATTCTTTTTTTAGCTTATATAAACATGTGTTTCTGAATGCACCCTATTTATATCAGCTATTTTCTAATGTGATGAATTACCGGATAATTTCAATAGCATAGATGAATGGTCATAAGGATGCTGAGTGGATGTCATCCCTCTGGTAAATAATGGTATACCAAGATGCCATGAGATCTATAATGCAATAAAACAACAGAATACAGTGCTGCATCCAGTGGGTTTTTTGTGTTTAATTTTTGTATAACTGCAGTCATTGTTTATAAACATTTTTAATGTTGACTTTATAGACAAGACAAATGTTACACTAATCATATTATAATTGATACATTGCATCCAGCTTCATTAGATTGTGTATAAATGGCTGTGTAGAAAATCGGCTGTAAGATATTCGAATTCAAATATAGTTTTCTGTATTCATTATTTATTTCCCTTCTATTATGAAGAGATTCAATTGAACGTGATTAAAAGGTTAAACACTGCTCTTAAATTATACAATGTGATATTAAATCTAAAAAAAAATTCCGATAATCAACCAGATCATGTTAAAATTATCCATTATTTACAAATTTTAAAGTCAGAACCTAATTTAATTTTAAATAACAGAATTCGACGCGACAAGCTAATTTAAAAAAATGACCTTAACACTTATCAAGTTAAACACTCAATTTACAGACATAAAAATATGCTCCTAAAGTAATTAGCAAATATATATATATATATATATATATATATATATATATATATATATATATATATATATATACATATAAACAGAAAGCAATGGTTAAAAAGTATAGAAGAGAGTATCTTATTATGTTATTATATGTAAATTCTAGCAATCTAGTCCTACACTACTCAAGTGTGCTATTTATTTTCATGTTAGTAATAGACAAGTTCTATACTATCTTTCTGTTTAGTGAATTAGACTGCATTTTTTATTGGGATTATTAATATTATTGTCAAATTGCCAATATTGAAGTAGGCTACAAGTTAGATCTTGTACGTCTCTCCCTAACACTCTTTTTAGTCGCCTAACCATGAATGAAAGTGATTTGAATTAACTTCATAAATTTTATTTATTTCCTTGATCAACGCAAATAAAAAATTATTAGATTTCGAATAATGTATTGATGTTATTTAGAACAAATGCGACATGACGCAATAGGGCAGGTAAGTAGGCCACCACGCACTTCTTTTGCTCATGCAAGTTTTATTGAGCCGTAGAACTGGTTGCGACCTACTTACCAGCCCTATAGCATATAGGTTAACTGTTGTAAATCAATCTGTTTACCTGTTGTTCTTCTTGAATAGCCGTGTCTAGTGAGCCTTTAATACACATAAATTATAATATTAATACAATGCTGTAAACAATTTGATGTAGCGTTATAAATATTCACTATAACGATTAATTACAGAGGGTAACAAAACGCAGCTAAAAGTAAAAGTTACATTTTAAAAACATTTTTTAAGCTGAAGAACGTGTCCACCTACCTTTGATCTCTTCCATTTCCCTGGCCACATGAGACAGTTTGACATCTCTGTCACGGAGAACTTCCAACAAACGTGGGTACCACCCCTCGTACAGTGTCAGTCTCTCAAACAGTAGCACACTGCCTTCTATCTCACCTTTAGTGTTAGTTGTCGCCTTGATCTCTGACTAAAGAGAGAGTAAATAGTTTTAGGATGAGGATGTGTACGTGAATTAAAGACTACCGTTGTAAAATATTAATTACATTTTTTTTGAACTGACATACACCCGAGGTCCAACTTCCAAAAATAGTGCGAGAGAAGTTGGCAATTGTAAAACCATTTACTTCTATTTTTTTTTTACAAACAATTCCCCAGTCAACTGCATACTACGGCTCACCCACCGACCACTGACCCGGCAGTTGGAATATCTAATCGTGCTAGATCTAGTATTTGACCTATCCAAGGGTCTTAAAGGGGCATGTGACATATCCATCGCTGAAACCATTAGAGGAAGAGTAATAGATAATTAGATATGTTTTCAGTCGTACTACATGCAGTGTAGCTCCCATCTCCCCTAATCTTCAACAGGATACCGTCGATTCCCGATTGGCACATATTTTTGTAATATGTTCTACAGTGTAAACATTTATTTTTTATGAACAGTGTTATTACGCTATTTAAATTATAATTAATTTTGTTTTTAATTAGTAACAAATTTTACTGTTGTTTACATAAACTTGACACGAGCTTATAAGACCTGGTTATTACATACATTTGGCGGCCCGAAGCTTATCAGAGTCAACACTAGATATCATTGTACTTGGTATCTATTGCTATTTTGAAATCTGTAAGCTGCACACATCATTTCATCTTACAAAATAGACTTCTTATTACTACTACTACATAACAATTCTTGCTGTGACAGTATTATTCATATAGTAATCCAGTTCGTGCATTAGTTCTCTTGGCAGTAGAAGAAATTATTCTACCTTAATTAAATTTGGGGACGGAGTGGTCTAGCGGTAGAGAGCTGGACTGCTAACCCGTAAGTCTCGTTAGGGTAAGTAAAGGCGGCTGGGCATAGTGCTGACCACACTATCTCTTCATATGCCGAGGTCACAGAAACAAGTGAACTCTACTTCACTTGCCACATAGACCGTCAGGTTTGAAAGGGAAACTTTTTTAATTAAAGCACAATTTAGTTGCCCGTAAGGTAGTTTCGCGTGACAGTAGAGTATATAAAATTATTTAAAATATCTTTTAAAGTTTTTCCTGCCCGCGACATTTAGACGCGGGATCATGATTTCTAAACGGAGTAATTTAAATGTAAAGCAGGCGTTACATTTCTTGGATCACAGTTGTATTGGCGCGGGTTTGTTTGCACTAACTTCCAGACGCAATAGGACCTGATGTGAATCAGCGTGGATGATATGGACAGTGGATACTGTGTTCACTTACTGGTAATTCTAAGCTTTGGCGGTCACTAACATTTACTTACGCGCTCTACTTTTAACGCTACAATTTATCATTAATGTGAACGGAATTTTACATCAAAGTATATTATTTAACCTAAATGATATATATATATATATATATATATATATATATATATATATATATATATATATATTACACGTTAGTGCTAAAAATAGTACCTTCATTTCCATTGGTATTGTAATGCTTCACAAGTGGTACTATTAGGTCCCCTTTGCGGGAACTTAGTACCGTTTGTAATTGTTTTGTCTGATTAATGTCTTATTTTAACAAAAAAAAAAATTACTCATTTAAATCACTTTCTTCTGGTCTTGTTTATATTGTTTACATAAATGATTCCTCAGGTGTAAAAAATTTGATGTCTTGTAGTTTTTTTTTAATGTATTCTTATGCTTAGGAAGTACGAATCACTTAATTTCCCCTATAATATATATATATATATATATAATATATATATATATATATATATATATATATATATATATATATATATATATATATATATATATATATATATATATATATATATATATGTATTTAATATAGGGGAACTACACAATTTGATTATACATAATTATACATAATTTAATTAATTAATTAATTGTGTAAAGATTTAAACTATCATTTTGGCCTAATAATTCTATTTACCAGATCAGTTTCAGTCAACATTTCACTTTCTTGAAGTAGATGAATAACATTTGATGGTTTGACAAATTTTCTAATCAGCTTTAGAAAAAAAGGCTTGAGCCGTTCAAAATATTCTGGATCTAAAGTCGGCTCATCCATTTTGTGACGTTTCAACTGTATACCTTATTGCCACCAATTAGGCTAAGCTATCCATAGTAGACCCATAATTTGCTATATAACACTGGAAAATGAACAATGTAAATTAATATATTATAAGTGCACATACTATAAAATGTAAGTTTTTTTACAAAACAATATGCTGCTAATATCAACCATCTGCCTACATTCTACATCATGAATTTAAAGGTTACAGCAAACCATTACATGTAAATAATGTGAAAGTCGTAACCACTTTTGTGAATGTAACAGCATACTTTAAACAAAAAAAAATTCCTAAAATAAAAGCTGGCTTCAAAAGATAAAAGCTATATTAAATTAGCTTCCAACGTTTTTCCACTCGTTTTATCGCATAACATAAATGCAATGTTGTAAATGCCGTTTATTGTAAACTAGCGTACTCGTCCCTCGGATTCAGACCAAAGGCTAACGCAATGTTTTATAAGGATTTCATTAATGCGTTTTCAATCGTGCTTTTTTAGAGGTAAGCGTCGCGGAGTTTTCTAGTAAGCCACTACTACAAGTGTGCCGGTTACGGTCTTAAATTTGTTGTACTCATTGAACATCGTGTGCCAACGTGTCCCTTTCCAGGGTGTTTTTTAAAACCAATGTAGGCACAGATTTCTCAATGGGTAGCCAATGTACTGCAGGTCACTGAACACCTGTCTCCAGTCGACGCTCTCAGTTTGATTTAGTCAACGATTCTATCAATAATGTACAACACTCTTAAAAGCAAACGTAAACGCCATAATGTTTTTGGTGAATCCCGGTGCGCCAATTTGTTTTTCGCAGAAACCTTCATTGGAGAATTTTTATCAACATCTCAAAGTTTAATAGTTATCGGAGGAATAGTATAGTAATGAATGAAATACAGACGCACCCATAGCAGAGGCGTAGCGACCCTTCCCCAATTTGGCGCCCCCCTCGGGAGCAAATTTTCAATTTACACCCCACCCCTCAACTTTTCGATTTGCACCCCCCCCCCATCAAACTGCAAGAATGCAGTCGGCGCCCGGGGACATATGTCCCCCCCCCCTTCCCCCCTTCCCCCATCGCTACGCTTCTGATCCATAGACACATATACTTTAATTTGTTTATGCGGTAAATGGAAAACAATCGCACCTTGCCGGAGTAACGCCGCTAAAAAATCATTACTTTCCCAAAATCTCATGGCGATCTGTGTTTTCTCCAGATTTTATTCTCCCGGGGGCGGGGTGGGGGGGGGGGTTGAGGGTGGTCAATGGTAAAAGTAAATATTCCTTTATAAATCCTATTTCGTTCGTGGGGTGGTAGACATTTTTCGATGGGTGGGGGAGGATTTGGCGTCCCCCCGAAGAGATGAATGGAAGAAATTCTGCATGTCATCAGCACTTAATCTCTCTCTCTCTCTTTCTCTCTCTCTCATTATCTCTGTAATTGGCTAATTTCGTCTGCCAACATTCAAAATTCAAGTTTTAAATTTTAAAATGTTTTGTTTCTAGCTATTTTATAACTTTAAACGTATATTTATGGAAAACAATATGAAGGTTGGAAGCAGTAGTCGTTAACAAAATATAAATGTTGACAAAGAGTGATAGTTCATCGTCCGGGGTAGACCTAGATTCAGGATGTAGTCTTCAAAATATAGAGATCGAGTTGATTAACCAAGCGATTAGAACTCACTATTGCCAGTTCGGTGTCGACGCCAGATTCCAAGAATTCTAAATATTTACACAACATATATGGACTCACTGATCCAACTATTTATATCATCTGAAAATCTACCAAAACATAAAGAAATAACAGGCATTTTAACTAGTCTAATTTATTTCTAGAGCTCTTACCTGAGGCTACTTGAATAAAATAATTCGTGATGTGTCACTGTAACATTGAGCGCAACCGTGTGTCAAAGATAGGTTATTTTAAAAGGCTTTCAAATCAAAGAAAGATATGTATCTATATAATTGAAAATGTAAAATAAATATAGCCTATATGATTGATTAAGCTTCACAATTATTTTATGAAGGTACTATTGTGTAGCTGGTGCTAACTACAACTTTTTTTAATGTGGTTATTATAACTTTAATTTAGATAATAACATTTATTTGTGTATACTAGAAGTCATTTTTTAATGTTGTTGTTTTTTAACCCACAGTGATACAATTAGAATTCATATTAATTGTAATGCTTGTCTATTAAACATACACGGTACTTTACTGTAAACAAGAAAAACAACAAGAGGGCGTTTAGTACTATTACAATAATTTATTTACTTATATACTATGATAAGAATTATAATAATTTTCAAAAACATTAGTCAATAAGTGTTATCTCATTGTTCTATTAAGCTTTTGTAACTATGATTCATTTCGTCTAGGTTTGGTATAGTGTTATTACTTGCAAAAGTAGGTGTTAGGATGAAATTACTATTAACACATAATAATATATAGTATTATTATAAAATTATATTCTGCGACAGCTTTTCATTATTTGTTACATTAAACTGTTAAATACATAGGCTAATCCTAAATGAAAATATACCCTACATGTTTATTCTAAACATAACTACACTAGATACACCACTACAGACCTTGATTCATCCTAATCTTAGACTATTTGATTAATGTTTACATTTCACTTACCAGTAGTACCCTCAGTAATTTAACACGTATTAAGTTTTAATGAACTCATATTGGGAATTCCCGAACAATATGGCAGACTGGGAAACCCAGTCTATATTTATCACTGGAGTTTTCTTTAACTTTAGTTCTCCCCATAGTTTGAGTAAGTCAAAATATCCCTAGGGTTTCATCCTAAACGATGTCAATTTGTTTTGAGGATTTTTCCTCTACTATGTTCACGGCTCGGCATACCCCCCCCCTTCTTTAAAAAAAAATTGCATTTTTTAATGTACAAGAGACACTGTACTTAGTCCCAGTGGCGTAGGCAGGGGTGGTTAGGGGGGCATAACCCCCCCCCCCCCCCATAGACCCCTCGGTACATATATATAAAGTATGAGGGGGGGGGGGGTGCAAATTGAAAGTTTGAGGGGGGTGCTAATCGAAAGTTTGAGGGGGGGGGGGGCTGCAAAGCGAAAGTTTGAGAGGTGGGGTGTAAATCAAAAGGTTGAGGGGGGATGCAAATCGAAAGTTTGAGGGGGGATGCAAATCGAAAGTTAGAGGGGGGGGGGGGGGGGGTGAAAATCGAAAGTTTGACCCCGGGTAAAAATTGGACCCCCCCCCCCCCCACCGCCCCTTGAGACGATCCTGGGTACGCCACTGCTTAGTCCATCAGAGGCGGATTTAAGTTACGCCCTGCAGATACTAATATAATTACGCACAGGATTCAAGGTACTATACTAAAGCATTATTCATAATTATAGGACCATTTGTCCCTGATATTTGAGGTAGGAATATAACTGTTTTGGTTTCAAGCTGGTCGATGTATTTTAGCGAGAAACAGAGCTGAAGATAGTATAGAACTATCCATTGATGTCCTTTCAATTGTAAAGTTTTTTGTCAGATTTCTGCAATTATGTATTTTTTAAACTTCGAAATCAACCAATTGTATTGCGATTAACGAGCACTCGTCTTTAAGTAATCAGTGTCTAGGTAAGGAAATGATGGCTAATGATTTATTTTTAAATTAAAAACTGTGATTCAAACATTTACCTTTTCTGGACCATAAGGATTTTACGCATAATTTTAAATACATACGTGCATGCATTTAGCAGTATAATGGCACGTATTTTTTTAAAGATGAGAGTATGTCGATACCTGTAATAGTTTTCGGTATCATATCAATACCTTTTTTTTTAATTTTAAAAGTGATCACAGGTTATGGGTTGTTCTGGAACATTAAACAATAAAAAAAAATATCATTGAAGAGAATACATGTATTTCCCTTATGAAGGCATTGTCTAGAACGTCCTTGACTACTGTTCTAGTGAAGTGTTTCACAGGGCTGCATGTATTTCTATGGTATGGTGGAAACCTAATAAAAATACAAGTATCTTTGTAAGGCAGACAGACCTAGATTTTATTACAATCTCCAATAATTCAACACATCATTCTACAAAAAGCTGACAAAAGAGAGAAATGGACTTAAACGTATCACGTCCATCCGCTCACGATCTAGTTTAAAAAACAGTAGTGATAATAACTGGTATGTCTTCACAAATACTGGCAGCATCGATGTCAAAACAGTTAGTATTTGTTACATTACTTGATTTCTATCATGTATAACAACCGGTGACTTCTTCGATTTAATTTCCTTTTTAAAAATTATTCTCAACAGACAACTCAGATGACATGTCTGGTTTCCATCTACATCTTGGTTAACTGACTACACAGTAATACATCGGCACCATAAACAAACTGAACATTCAAGGGACGTAACCAGAGTTTCTTCCAGGCATCTCTTCGAAATTTTTTTACCCCCCCCCCCCCCCGAACGAAATGAAATTTATGTAATTTATATAGAAAATATATACTTTTAACAGTGTCCGCCCCCCCCCCCCCCGAAGAAAGTTTACCGCCCCCCCGAAAATTTCAAGTGCCCCCCCGGAGAAAAAAGTCTGGAAGAAACACTGGACGTAACTATGATATATATATATATATATATATATATATATATATATATATATATATATATATATATATATATATATATATATATATATATATATATATATATATATATATATATATATATATATATATATATATAAAGCAATGTATGTCTGTGTGTTTGTGTGTTTGTCCTTTATGCATTACTACACCTCTCATCACATCGCCGCGACACTTTGGGAAGTTGTTGAGAATACTCCTGGGGAGGTTTCTGCGAAAAAAAATATTTCAAATTCGCAGGGGTGGCGCCCCGGTAGGGCGCGATTTGTTTTTTCTCAATATGCGGTATAAAATAATAAAAGTCGATTTTGGTTTGGCATCGCTCATCCGATAGCCATGAGACTTTGGTGAGTTCATTATACCACTTTAGGGAAGGGTTTTGTAAAAAAATAATTTTTAATTTCGCAAGGGCGGCGCCACGGGAGGGTCCGATTTTTCTCTATATACTGTATATAAAAATAATAAAAGTGAATTGCAGTAACACTGTTCATCTGATAGGCATGAAACTTTGGGGAGTTTATTATGAAACTTTAGGGAAGGGTTCAATAAAAAATCATTTCTAATTACGCAAGGGCGGCGCCACGGGAGGGTGCGATTTTTCTCTATATACGGTTTATAAAAATAAACGTCGATTGCGATTTCACGGCGTTCATCCGATAGCCATGAAACTTTGGGGAGTTGATTAGAACACTCCAGGGAAGGTTTCTTAAAAAAAAACCCTCCTTTTTTAATTTCGCAAGGGCGGCGCTACGGGAGGGTGCGATTTTTCTCTATATACTGTATATAAAAATAATAAAAGTGAATTGCAGTAACACTGTTCATCTGATAGGCATGAAACTTTGGGGAGTTTATTATGAAACTTTAGGGAAGGGTTCTATATAAAATCATTTTTAATTACGCAAGGGCGGCGCCACGGGAGGGTGCGATTTTTCTCTATATACGGTTTATAAAAATAAACGTCGATTGCGATTTCACGGCGTTCATCCGATAGCCATGAAACTTTGGGGAGTTGATTAGAACACTCCAGGGAAGGTTTCTATAAAAAAAACCCTCCTTTTTTAATTTCGCAAGGGCGGCGCCACGGGAGGGTGCGATTTTTCTCTATTTACGGTTTATAAAAATATAAGTCTATTTCGGTTTCACACCGTTCATCCGTGTACCATGAAACTTTGGGGAGATGATTATATCACTCAATGGTAGGGTTCTACAAAAAATTGTTTTTAATATTGCAAGGGCGGCGCCCCAGAGGGAGAGCGATTTTTTTTCTCTATACACGGTATATAAAAAATAAAACTCGGATGCAGTTCATCCGAGTGCCATGAAACTTTAAGGAGTAGATGAGAACACTCCTGAGAATATTTCTGCGAAAAAGAAAACTAAAGTTCCTTATCGGCGGCGCCATGTAGGGTACAAATTTCGTCAATACACGGTTTGGCGCCCAAAGTTTTAGAGCGACTATGTTGGCACTTGGCATCCGTTATTCGAGCGTCCTGCATAACGAGTAATGGGTACTATTATATTCAGCGGTAAAGCTACAACAGTCTTCTAAAAATAACTTTGTAACGCGAGGAAATCCTTCTGTACAGTTTCGTCACCTAGCGAAAGATGAAAAAATAACTTTTTGAATATGAGGAGCCTACTGTAGAGTTTCGTCACTTTGCGAATGATGCAATAAGCATCTACTATTAGACAATCCAGTCAGAAATTAAGATCGAGCATCTAATAATAGGCAAATAGTAACGCTAGCATATCGCATCAGTCACACTGATGTTTAAAACATGTCAAATACTTTTGTACGTGTTAAAGAAAAAAAGCCTGTTCATTTGTGGCACTTTAGCGAATGATGAAAATCTGCATCATTATTAACAGGATGCTACTTGGTACGATGGCGCATATTACTTTTAAGGAGCCAGGGGTCGTACGCCGCGCCTATGCGGTGGTGTAATCGGGGGGTGGGGGCCCTGAGAGCGCCACTGTACGTCTCTGACACATTGGCAGTCACCGAAGTGTGTGCTACCATATTATTTGGGTGAGTGACTAATGTACACTCAATGTTTTCATGCGGTAGTGTAGCCCTACCCGTGTCCCGATATTTATGATCCATGCGCAGGCATTGTTTACATTTAAATAACTCACTATTAGAAAACAAGGTAACGAGTCTAAGAATATAGGATTGGTAACGCATGGATGAATCCCTTCTTATATATTTCATCGGACTATCTGCAGAGTGTAGGTTGATAGATATTTTTTTGTGAAGAAATTTCGATTACAACATGTGATCTAAATTAAATGGGCATACCTTTTTCCTCCTCCAGTTTTTCACTAGACAACTTATAATCAGAATATTCTTCTTTGAGTCGCGCTAATTTGATTTGCAGTTCCTCTATTTTGATATGAAATTATATAAAGTGCATATATATATATATATATATATATATATATATATATATATATATATATATAAAGAATAGGTGTATGATGTTAAATCTTCATATACATAACAGCATAAAAAACAACGATCCTTTAGATTACTTGTGTTTGCATATTTCCAGGTGTTAAGCTATTAAAAAACTAAAATCGATATTTTGTTATCCCCTTTATCGTTAAACTGTCGCATCGAAAGGAATTGATTATGTTGTAGAAACTACATTCTGCGAGAGCTCTGCTGGTTGGGATTTATTCATCTAACGTAATTCTCTTCTCAAATACATTCGTGTTGTCAAATGATATCATCTCCTTGTTGAATGACCTGTGCTTTGACAACACACCCGTTTAAGACTGACGTAGAGTGAAATATACGTCCATCTAGTGACTAGATTCTAGTCCAAGAACGTGGAGTCTCCAAACATCAATTTTCAAATGCCAAATTTGAATGTGTCCCATTTTTGTAACAAGACGACACATACATTGGCACTTATAATTTGGGATAACTGGAGAAAATAAACATTTTTTTTCCAAAAATTGTTGTTATTAATACATGAACAAATTATTTCGAATATGATGCTTTGCAGAACAAAGTCTTTAATTGCAATGGAAAAGAAAAACAACCCTTAAATTGGCACTTATAATTTGGGATAACTGGAGAAAATAAACATTTTTTTTCCAAAAATTGTTGTTATTAATACATGAACAAATTATTTCGAATACGATGCTTTGCAGAACAAAGTCTTAAATTGCAACGGAAAAGAAAAACAACCCTTAAATTGCTTTTCTAGAATAAAAATGTGTGACTTTAGCTAAAATCTGATTAGAAAATCAGCAATCTGCATTCTATTTTATGGGTTTTGGAAATTGACAGATTATCCATGTTGACCACTTAGGTATGAGTGAAGGTTTGCATTTTCTTCCCTAATTATGTCCAATTCCTTTCTTTCTCAAGTGTTTAGAATATGTATGCAAATCGTATTCATTATATAAATTTCCTTTATGTATTTCCATATTCGACGCAAACCGGTCAATGACTTTTTAAAAGATTGAAGGACTGATACATTTTTTTTATATCTACAAATTTCAGTTGTCGCTGAGAGTTTTGGAATGTCTACCAAAAAGGGCTGCTGTAGCTGACGTCTTACAAAAGATATATAACACTGTGATGCCGACAGTAAACGTATTTATACAGACACTTAAAGCTCTGAATCACACTGTGGGTTATATTTAGAGAGAGGTATTGGTTGTATTGCACCATTAACCATTTATCTAGTCTGTTTCTACCAAATAATTTGAAGTTTGTTTCTGTCGATTTAACAGATATGTTTCAGCTTTAGTTTACCATTGCTTTTCAACTCGATTTTCTGAATTGTAGGCAGAGTTTCTTGCCCCCCCCCCCCCCCCCGACATTTTTTTACCGCCCCCCCCCCCCCCGAACGAAATGAAATTTATATAATTTCTATAGAAAATATATACTTTTAACAGTGTCCGCCCCCCCCCCCCCCGAAGAAAGTCTACCGCCCCCCCCCCCCCCCCCCCCGAAAATTTCAAGTGCCCCCCCCGAAGAATAAAGTCTGGAAGAAACACTGATTGTAGGTCGTAGAAATACGAGATTGTATAATGCAGGTATGCATCTTCATCAGGGGTTTCAAAATAGACAATTTTGTTAATTACTTCATTTCATCAGGGTTTTTTTTCTCTACCATGAAAAGAACTATGTGTAATTGTGGTAGATCCCATTTTTAAAATTTGATTACGTAGAACTTGGCACTAATACTTCCTAATATGTTGAGTTTATTTAAGTCTTTAAGGAACAAAAAAATCTTAGTTTCAATTCAAATACTCTTGCTACCCAGCAGATCATATGGCAATTGGTTAAGACTGTTTCCTTAATTTCCTTGCAATTTAGATTGAGTGCGAACTTATAAATAAATAAGCTTTGCGATACTTCTGATCATAGCTGGAGCACCTGAAAGTTTGGCACTAATTTCATCAACTCTCATTAACTATTGAACATTTGAAAAAATAAAAATGTTAGGATAAACAAAAGCGGTTAATTACCAGAATCACTTGCAAATTGCGCTTCGTTCTCTTCTTCTCTAAGCCTTAGTTTAATCTCATTTAGTTCGTTTTGAACTTGTTCTGTTAGAAAACGACATGTGTTTGAGAGAGAGAGAAAGAGAGTGAGAGAGAGAGAGAGATATGTTAGTCATCTATCTTTAAAAAAGAAACCGAATGTAATAACTTGTTTTTTTTTAACTTTTCAGCTTAACAGATATAATTTACCAAGCTGTACTTTCAGTTTCATCAATTTTTTTCTTTGTACTAATTGATCATCTGTGAACAAAATAAGCAATAACGTAAGTTTTATAAGCTACATATAGGCCTAAACAGTTACTAAATATTTTTTAAGGGCTTAATAGCAATTTAAAATCAACACTGGTACAATGCGAACGCCTACTGCTTAAGTATCAATATAAATGAATCGGTGCATATATATATATATATATATATATATATAGATAGATTTATATATATATATATATATATATATATATATATATATATATATATATATATATATATATATATATATAGATATAGATATAGATATAGATATATATATATATATTAAAAAAGGTCATTCAAATAATGTTCTACCATAAAAAAAATTAAAGTACTTATATATACAGAAAACGTTTGTGATTTAAATGACAAAAACCAAGCTCTAAAATATAACTAAATGCATTTTTTTTAGTATTTAAATATTCTTTTTTTAGCTTATATAAACATGTGTTTCTGAATGCACCCTATTTATATCAGCTATTTTCTAATGTGATGAATTACCGGATAATTTCAATAGCATAGATGAATGGTCATAAGGATGCTGAGTGGTATACCAAGATGCCATGAGATCTATAAATGCAATAAAACAACACAATACAGTGCTGCATCCAGTGGGTTTTTTGTGTGTAAATTTTGTATAATTGCAGTCATTGTTTATAAACATTTTTAATGTTGACTTTATAGACAAGACAAATGTTACACTAATCATATTATAATTGATACATTGCATCCAGCTTCATTAGAAATTGTGTATAAATGGATGTGTATAAAATCGGCTGTAAGATATTCCAATTCAAATATAGTTTTCTGTATTCATTATTTATTTCCCTTCTATTATGAAGAGATTCAATTGAACGTGATTAAAAGGCTAAACACTGCTCTCAAATTGTACAATGTGATATTAAATCTAAATAAAAATTCCGGAAATCAACCAGATCATGTTAAAATTATCCATTATTTACAAATTTTAAAGTCAGAACCTAATTTAATTTTAAATAACAGAATTCGACGCGACAAGCTAATTTAAAAAAATGACCTGAACACTCATCAAGTTAAACACACAATTTACTGAGTTAAAAATATGCTCCTAAAGTAATTAGAAAATGTATATATATATATATATATTATATATATATATTATATATATATATATATATATATATATATATATATATATATATATATATATATATATATATATATATATATATATATATACATATAAACAGAAAGCAATGGTTAAAAAGTATAGAAGAGAGTATCTTATTATGTTATTATATGTAAATTCTAGCAATCTAGTCCTACACCACTCAAGTGTGCTATTTATTTTTATGTTAGTAATAGACAAGTTCTATACTATCTTTCTGTTTAGTGAATTAGACTGCATTTTTTATTGGGATTATTATTGTCAAATTGCCAATATTGAAGTAGGCTACAAGTTAGATCTTGTACGTCTCTCCCTAACACTCTTTTTAGTCGCCTAACCATGAATGAAAGTGATTTGAATTAACTTCATAAATTTTATTTATTTCCTTGATCAACGCAAATAAAAAATTATTAGATTTCGAATAATGTATTGATGTTATTTAGAACAAATGCGACATGACGCAATAGGGCAGGTAAGTAGGCCACCACGCACTTCTTTTGCTCATGCAAGTTTTATTGAGCCGTAGAACTGGTTGCGACCTACTTACCAGCCCTATAGCATATAGGTTAACTGTTGTAAATCAATCTGTTTACCTGTTGTTCTTCTTGAATAGCCGTGTCTAGTGAGCCTTTAATACACATAAATTATAATATTAATACAATGCTGTAAACAATTTGATGTAGCGTTATAAATATTCACTATAACGATTAATTACAGAGGGTAACAAAACGCAGCTAAAAGTAAAAGTTAAATTTTAAACACATTTTTTCTGCTAAAGAACGTGTCCACCTACCTTTGATCTCTTCCATTTCCCTGGCCACATGAGACAGTTTGACATCTCTGTCACGGAGAACTTCCAACAAACGTGGGTACCACCCCTCGTACAGTGTCAGTCTCTCAAACAGTAGCACACTGCCTTCTATCTCACCTTTAGTGTTAGTTGTTGCCTTGATCTCTGACTAATTTTACTATTGTTTACATCAACTTGACACGAAGTTATTAGACCTGGTTATTACATACATTTGGCGGCCGCGAAGTTTATCAGAGTCAACATTAGATATCATTGTGCCTGGTATCTATTACTATTTTGAAATCTGTAAGCTGTACACGTCCATTTGTCACGTTAACAGCGGTCCTTCATTATTTAACAAAATTCTTATTACTACTACTACATAACAATTCTTGCTGCTACAGTATTATTCATAAAGTAATCCTGTTCGTGAATTACTTCTCGTAGCAGTGGAAGAAATTACCTTATTTAAAGTACAATTTAGCTGCTGTAAGGTAGTTTCGCGTGAAAGTAGAGTATATAACATTATTTAAAATATCTTTTAAAGTTTTTCCTGCCCGCGACATTTAGACGCGGGATCATGATTTCTAAAACAAAGTAATTTAAATGTAAAGCAGGCGTTACATTTCTTGGATCACAGTTGTATTGGCGGGTGTTTGTTTGCACTAACTTTCAGACGCAACTGGACTTGATGTTTAAAGCCTTGAGTGCACGTAAAATCATTTTTTCTAACAGAGAGGAAGAAAGTTGTTTGTCAACCTCCCTATTAGAGAGGAAGAAAGTTTCTTGTCGACCACCCAGGTATCTGAAGCGTCGCGGGACGCTCTCGCCAGCCACTAATTACACTACCTAAGTGGTACCGGGTATAGCTACTGGTTTGGTTCGTTAAATGCAGTGTGCCACCGAATCCTTAATGTAAGGTGCTATTTTTAACAAAAGTATGTGACATAGTGGTTACAGGGTAGCAAGGGACGAGAAATCCCATCCCTATCGGGGCACTGGCAGACTCGACTGATTCAATTTTGTAAACTATTATAGTAGGCTACCGTCTCCATAGTGTACCAACTATTTAAAACAAACTAAGATCGACGCTTTGCAGAAACTAAATAAACGTATTATTTAGTAAAGGCATAACTCTGGTTGCGGAGACGGCACCTAGAAAAAAAATCCGGATTTACAATAATGTAAAATAAGTACATTTGGGAAAACGCGTAATGATGTAACAAAGTACCACATGTCAAATCGCTACATGTCAAATCGCTTGTATGTTTCCATTTAAATTCATTGAAATGAATTTGATCCGTTCCAGCCCCAAAAGTGACATCGCGAGTTTTTAATTTTTTTTATTTTTATAAGACAAGTATTATACACACTTTATATTATAACATAATAACATTAAAAACATAATAAAGGATAATGAAAAGAATTACAATGGTCTTGTAAACTGAAAATCAGAGTGGATAATATGGGCAGTAGATACTCTGTTCAATTACTGTTAATTCTAAGCTGTGGTGGTCACTTACATTTACTTACGCGTTCTAATTTTAACGCTACAATTTATCCCTAAAGTGAACGGAACTTAAACATATATATATATATATATATATATATATATATATATATATATATATATATATATATATATATATATATATATATATATATATATATATACATATATATTACACGTTAGTGCTAAAAATAGTACCTTCATGCCGTAAGAGGTACTATTTGGTCCCTTTTGCGGGAATTTAGTACCGTTTGTAATTTTTTTTTCTTATTGATGTCCTATTTTAACAAAAGAAATTACTCATTTAAATCATTTTCTTCTGGTCTTGTTTACATAAATGATCCCCTAAGTTCTAAAAACTTTGATGTCTTGTAGTTTTTTAAAATGAATTCTTATGCTTATGAAGTGCGAATCACTTATTTTTGCCTATAATATATATATATATATATATATATATATATATATATATATATATATATATATATATATATATATTTATATATATATATATATATATATATATATATATATATATATATATATATATATATATATATATATATATATATATATATATATATATATATATATATATATATGGAGAAATACACAATTTGATTATACATGATTATACACAATTTAATTAATTAATTAATTGTTTAAAAATTTAAACTATCATTTTGGCTTAATAATTCTATTTACCAGATCAGTTTCAGTCAACATTTCACTTTCTTGAAGTAGATGAATAACATTTGATGGTTTGACAAATTTTCTAAACAGCTTTAGAAAAAGAGGCTTGAGCCGTTCAAAATATTCTGGATCTAAAGTCGGCTCATCCATTTTGTGACGTGTCGACTGTATTTCTTATTGCAACCAATTAGGCTAAGCTATCCATAGTAGACCCATAATTTGCTCTATAACACTGGAAAATGAACAGTTTAAATTAATTTGTGCACATACTAAATTGTTAAATGCAATGTTGTAAAAGCCGTTTATTATAAACTAGCTTACTCGTCCCCCGGATTCAGATCAAAGGTTAACGCAATGTTTTATGAGGATTTTATGAAAGCGTTTTTAATCGTGTTTTTTAAGACGTAAGTGTCGCGGAGTTTTCTAGGAAGCCATCGCTTACACTACTACATGTACACCGGGGACGATCTTTAGTTCGGTTTAATCATCAATCGTCATGTGCCAACGTGTAACTTTTCCAGGGTGTTCTTTAAAACCAATGTAGGCACAGATTTCTCAATGGGGAGCAAAAGTACTGCAGGTCACTGAACACCTGTCTCCGGTCGACGCTCTCAGTTCGATTTAGTCAACGATTCTATCCATAATGTACCACACACTTAAAAAGAAACGTAAACGACATAATGCTTTTGGTGAATCCCGGTGCGCCAAATTGTTTTCCGCAGAAACCTTCATTGGAGAATGTTTATCAATCTCTCAAAGTTTAATAGTTATCGGAGAAAGGTATAGTAATGAATGAAAGACAAACACACCCATAGACACATATACTTTAATTTGTTTATACGGTAAATGGAAAACAATCGCACATTGCCGCAGTGACGCCGCTAGAAAATCATTACTTTCCTAAAATCTCATGGCGATCTGTGTTTTTTCCAGCTTTTATTTTCCGCGGGTGACACTTTCGGGGGGGGGGGGGGGAGGGGGGGGTGTACAATGCTAAAAGTATATATTCCTATATAAATCCTATTTCGTTCGTGGGGTGGTAGACATTTTTCGGTGGTGGTGTGGGGGGGGGGGGATTTGGGGTCCCCCCGAAGAGATTACTGGAAGAAATTCTGCATGCCATCAGCACTTAATACCTCTCTTTCTCTCTCTCTCTCTCATTCGCTCTTCACTTATTATTAGGCTCCTATTAAAAATGTTTAGATTTAAACGTATTTTATTGAAAACAATATGAGGGTTGGAAGCAGTAGTCGTTAAAGAAATATCAATATTGACAAAGAGTAATATTTTAACGTCCGGGGTAGACCTAGATTCGGAATGTAGTCTTCAAATTATAGAGTTGATTAACCAAACGATTAGTTCTCACTATTGCCAGTTTGGTGTCGACGCTAGCTTCCACGAATTCTAAATATTTAATCAATATATATGGACTCACTGAGCCAACTATTAGTATCATAAAAAATCTAAAAAAACATAAAGAAATAACAGGCATTTCAATTAGTCTAATTTATTTCTAGAGCTCTTACCTGAGGCTACTCGAATACAATAATTTGTGATGTGTGACTGTAACATTGAGCGCAATCGTGTGTCGAAAATAGGTTATCTTGAAAGGCTTTCAAATCACACTGATAAAGTGTTCATTATAACACACATTGCTACACATTTAGTATTATAAACTAGAAAAATTGCCTATTAACTGATAGTGTTGCGATTTTCCTTTTGCGCACGTATACCTGAGATAGCCGATCCTAAATAATATAGGTATAACTGTATTTAGAACATATGTTTTAACAGAATTGAACTTACATCGAACAGATTAGTAGAAGAGCCTGGTACGTCGGACTCCCAAGTCCCCTACATGATAGCGAGCCAGGAGATTTGTCCGCACTAGACGGGCGAATCTCCGTTGCTTGCTCTAAATAGCGTGGGGGAGGAGAGGTGCAAGACTGCCGGGAACCAAGAAGGGTTTTGCTCTCGACCCTAGCCAGATGTCTTGACTTTAAGCTGCGGCCTTCACGTGGCTTCGGATGTGTGCCACTAGTCGGACCAAGCTCATGACCCCCCAAGTGGGTGCGGGATGGCTAGTGGTAGCCAACAGCAGCTAGAGGTTTTTGATCTGGCCGAGTAGAACTGCTGTATGCGTTCGGCTCTTCCGAAGAGCCTGGTACGTCGGACTCCCAAGTCCCCCACATAATAGCGTGGGGGAGGAGAGGTGCAAGACTGCCGGGAACCAAAAGAGTCAGCCGCCAGATCTTTCTTTTGACTTTAAGCGGCGGCCTTAACGGGGCTTCGGAATAATGCCACTGGTCCGACCAAACTCATGTCCCCCCTAGTGGGTGCGGAATGGCCAGTGGCAGATAACAGCAGCTAGAGGGTTTTGATCTGGCGGAATGCCCCCAACGATCAAGCTGGGTACCAGTCGGTAGGACGACGTCCCGCGTCTGGTGGGTGGGGAAAGAAAGCCCGGTGAGAGCCCACGGAAGTAGCGACCGATGTGTGGGGAACTCTCTCGGGGTTTGCCACACTGAGGCCTGCCTGGCTAATGGAAGTCAACCTTCTGAGCCGGTTTCCGTATAAGGAAGGAAGAAAGTAGAATATTGAAATGCAGCGTATTTACTTATCTATATTATCTAACCTCAACATCAAACTCAACATTATTCTCAACATCAATCATAACCGCAACTTCATTGATAACAAAAAACATGGCGGCTATTTGTTAGTAGTTCCCGCTTCAAGATTTAAAAATCATCAAACGTTCCAGAAATGCAACAATTGTAAAAACTTTCAACGCTTATTTGTTCATATGGATGGGAACAAATACATTTGCATGCATTACTGAATATAAAAGATCTGTTGCGTTAAGCATTTTGATTTTATTTCTTTGTTGACTTTTTGTCCAAGAAAGGCTAGATCTAGGCCTAAGGGACATTACTCTGACACTAGATCTAGATCTATTCAGTCTTTGCTACGAGTACGAGCAGAGTTTCTTCCAGGCAGGTCTCTTTTCGGATGGGGGGGGGGGGGCTAAGCCCCCCGACAAAAATCTACCGCCCCCCCACGAAAGAAATGAAATTTATACAATTTATATAGAAAATATATACTTTCAACAGTGTCCGACCCCTCCCCCCGAAAAAAGTCTACCGCCCCCCCCCCCCCCCCGAAAATTTCAAGTGCCCCCCCCCTCCTGAAAAAAAAGTCTGGAAGAAACAATGAGTACGAGACTCTAGATCAAGAATCTACAAATATCTACATTATTCTAAATTGCTTCATTCTAGTTCTAAGAGTATAAAAGTTCATAAATTAGAATTTATTAGATCTAGATTTATTAGATATCTACTATCTAGTAATCTACAGAAAATATTAGGAATATGATGACTCGCACTCGGCCTACAATCCTACAAACTACAACTTAAACGAATCTAGATCTAGATTAAATCGAGATCAGATCTAGACCTAGATTTAGATCTACAATCTATCCATCTCTAGATCTAGATTTATCTACTTCTGGTGGTTTTTTGATGGAGGGCGGACCTTTGACCACAGGTGCTTTGACCCTAGGGGCTTTGACCATAGGTGTTTTGACCACAGAGGCGCTTTGACCATAACTGTGCTTTGACCATAGGGGGTTTGATCATTGGGGGTTTGGCCATTGGGGGTTTGACCACAGGTGTTTTCTCAGCAGAAGGTCTTTGATCACAGGCGGTTTGTCAACGGGTGTTTGATCCAAAGCGCTGTGTGCGGCTTCGATCACAGGTGTTTTCTTGCAAGGTTTGACAGGGACAAGCTACCCAGCTGAGAAGCGATACAAGATGCTGCACGTAAAAGTGCAACGTGCTGTCCAGACACATGGTCAAACAGATTTACTGACATATTTGCGTGCTATGGCATATCTGTCATTTAGTTAACCATTTTAAGTATTACTTCTTTGACTATATTGTTGGCTTGTTTTTTATCATTTTTTATCCTTTATATATGCTATGTATTTTCAAGTGTATTTACATTTTTTATTTGTGAAACGTGTTATATGCCGCATTATTCGTGTTCCATTGATATTTAAAATACCTCTATGAGGCCTAACACCAGCCTTTATGTTGAGACTGAAATATCGTTCTTGACTTTTTTTAATACATGTTAATTTCTATTAACGTACTCTCGGGAAACATGTATAAAATCGTATTAATTGTATCATAAATTTAAATCAAATAACAGTTTGTAATTTATATTTTTAAATATATATATTACGGTTAAACCCCTCTGTGGTCAAAGTTCCGTTATGGTCAAAGCCCCTGTAATGTAGTCAATCTGTAGTCTAGTAGATCTATATTAGTAAGGCTATCCTATTTTTAAATTTTTAATATATTTTCTTAGATCTAGATTAGATTTAGACTAGATCTACTCTAGCTATTCATTTATTAGATATGTAAAGTGTACTGTGAACTACTTTAGATCTAGATACATTTTAAATTTTAATTTAGGGCCTACAGACAACACTGTTAAAGCTAGTAGATCTAGAAATCTAGAATAAATTTAGTTTAAAATATTTACAGTAGTGCTACTACTTTTCAAAGTAGTAAGTAGTGTAGACTACTAAAGGAGCGAGATGATAGATCTTAATTAAGCTACAATCGAGTTTAGTTCATAGTTAGTTAGCTGTAGTAATAGTACCAAAATCAGAGTAAGTAGCACAATAAAAACTACTAATGTATTAGGCCCTTTTATGTTTAGCAAGTTAAAGTTAGTTGCTAACTTAGCAGCAACAGCTAGATTAAAAAGAAGATGATGCTATTTTAGTTGGCCTACTACTAGTAGAAGTTGTTCTAGATCTAGATGTAGCTTCTTATTCCAGAGTAACTAGAATAATTTAGGCATATGTACATTTTTTTAGATTTGTTGCGAGTTGATCAAATCTATATCTATTTCAGTTTGGTTAAGCACTAGTCTACTAGCAAGTAGCCTAGTAGTAAATAGTAAACTTAGAAACAAGATCATGTGTATTAGTACACCTGTGATAACTTTCTGCCTTTTAGTATAAGCTTAATTTTTAATGAATTTCATAGGTACAAAAACTAATAAATTGGCCAGAGTCAGTAAGGTTACAGTTAGCTGTTAATAGAATTGAGTTTTAGATCTATTGACTACAATTTTTAGTTACAAGTAATGAAAATGAAACTAATAATTTTGTAATAGGAAAGAAA